ACAAGACCAGACATCTCTGGCTGGGGAGAATTTTGGGGTATAAAGTGTTTGACACATGACTTTAAATAGTCCATCAATTATTACAGAGCTGCCCCTCCCACATGACAGGAGGGGGGACATCACCACAGACTCCCTTTTTCCCTGGTTAAAACCCTTCTAACCTACTGTTCCCCCACCCCTCTTGGGGCAACAATGTCCCCAAAAACAAGCCCGGCTTGGGACAAGGCTTTCCAGTGGGCCTCAGCTATGTGAAATATAAGAAATATGAAAGCTGCTATAGATGCTCTGCACCTATAGCAAGATATTTGACCCCTTTGGGTGAACAAGATGGACAAGTTAACGCTATCCCTAGTTAAAAAAATGTCACCTTTTGACCCAACCTATACCCCTTTTTGTATTTTATCTCAATTTGCCCCCTTCTCTAAACCAACTTGATTACATTTCATTTTGTACATACTACCCTTCCCATTCTTTCCCTAGCCTACGGCCTACCCCTTACCAACCTTCACCTCCTATCCTTTTTACCCTAACACCCAACCGCAATTTATTCATTATCCCTTTAAATATATTTTATAATTTTAACACATTTCAAATGTTTTTTTTCCCTTACATTCATATTTTAGGCTATTTTTGTGGAGTCGTTTCCAAATAACAGAAACTCTTCTTTGCTGCGGTCTGCTGGGGGGGGGGGGGGGGGGGGGGGGGGCAGCATCAGAGCCGGTCACACCAGCAGAATCAATAAATCGGCATCGGCATCAAGCTGGACCCCTTTGAAGATGTGGTGGAGAGGAGGACACTGAACAGGCTGTTGTCCATCATGGATAACCCCACCCCCCCCCTCTCCACCTGCAGCTGGACAGACAGGAGCTCCTTCTCCAACAGACTGCTGCAGCTCCCCTGTCACAAGGACAGATACAGGAAAACATTCCTGCCCACTGCAATAACTCTATATAACAAATCACCACTGGCTGGAAGAGAACTCACTTCTCCATAGTTTGAGTTTCTCCTTCCTAATAACCATGAACAATTAGCAAATTCTGTATATATGTACATTTTATACTTCACAAGTATGCTCCTGTAGTGTAAGCACATATCCCTTCTACTAACTGTAGTATCTTTTGACTTTTTCAGAACATTTAAAATATCCAGAATCTTATATATTATTTATATTGTTTATATCTGATATAATATTTTTCCTTTTATTTTTTATTTTACATTTTTAACTAATGCTAATTCTATTTCACTTTTTAAGGATTTGTATCTATCTCTATCTATCTATCTTCAACTCTCTGCATGCTTTTCCTGCAGGTCCATCCATTAACATGGGTGACATGTCACCAACTTTGCACATTTTTGCCAAAAACAAACATCCTTCTCTCATGCCAAAGTGCCCCTCACTATGTTTGTTTTAATAACAGTCCTGGCAAGGGGTGTACCACAGGGTTATCTATCTTTTTTCTTGCCCCTTCCCCGAAGTTTATATATGGAAATGTACTGTACACCCATGAACACTTTAAAAATTGGTTTGAACCTCCCCTCCTAACTAACTGGATTGTTTACAGATTTGCCCAAGGTCTTCGATTGCGACAAGTGGAAATGCTGCAGGAAGGAATTACTCGTAGCTCTGCAACTGACTAAGCTTGCAGACAAGCTGCGAAGAGTTTGCAAATCTGCCATGAGAAGAATGAGAAGAAGAGGCCAGCAGACCATTGGAAGATGAGAAGTTGTTATGATCGATGAAAGCAAATTTGGCCATAAAAGAAAGGTGTGTAAACTATGTAAAAACTTTAAGATTGTTACCTTGATGTCCAAACAATACATAATAAGAAAAAGTGTATTGCCTATGATCTTGCATAAGCCTGTGCTTAACAGAGCTACTTAATGTAGAGAAAATATGCATACATTGAATACACAGAAAGTTACAATTGAGTTTCACCATTTCTGCTGTACAACAGTGTTTATCATATAGACTATTTTTGCTAATTATACATAAAGTAGTAGAGTGTATTGTAAATTGTAAAGCATTTTAGAAACTGTTCCAAACATGGTGGATAAGTTCGCTGCTGTGTGAATAATAATAAAAAACAATTGCATACAGTATTCCATGTAGAGATATACAATGGTAAGGCTCTACGGAAAATATTTTAAAACATTCTTTATTTAAAGAAACTGCAGACAGAGCCATTTTAATGTAGCCATTCCAGGTGTATGTAATCCTCTTTCCCACTTTTACCCATCCCACTGTTTGTGGCTCAGGTGGTTCTGCATTATTGCCCAGAGCTCTATGTGGCCATAGGTTGCATAAATATACAATTATTTTCCCATGGAGCAAAGAGAAGGATGATTTTGGTGTGTCAAAACTAAGAAGTAGCCTTTGTGTCAGTATCCTTATCTATGAGAAATGACTGTTGCGTTTTGGAATAAGATACATGCAGTTAAATTATGCCATAAAGGGAAATGTCATATTATTCCTGCACCTCAGGACAGTTGAATATTTGTAAACATGCACTGCTCCATAATACTCTTGTCATTTTCAGTACAACACAGGACGGGCGAGCAACAGGAGTTCCTGGGTGTTCGGAATGCTTGGAATCAGAAATGACAGGAGAGCAGCCATTTTCAAGATCGTGCGTCGCCGCTCAGCCAGACATCTTATGCCTCTCATAAAGAAGCACATTAAGAACGGAAGCTCAATCATTTCAGATGGATGGAGGTCTTACCGCCGGCTTCAGGACGAAGGTTATAATCCCCTGACTGTCAACCATCAAGAATTTTTTGTTGACCCTCCAGTGTTTTCCCCTATATACAAATAGCGGCGGCGCAGGAAACCATCACAGAAATGGACCACTTGGAATGCTTTTGCATGACATTAGGAACAAATATAAAGTGTGAAGCCTGTGAAAGGTAGCAGAGGTTGCAGATAGCAAGTTGATATTTACACTGTCAGTCAAAAGCTTTGACACTATTATTTATCTTTGTGACCCTGTAGTAGACAGCTCTGTCTGCTAGAAAGACTGATAGAGAACGATTTGTTGCCATTTGTTGCCATTTGTTCTGAGCCTTGACAGTTGAGCTATTTGCACATTTATATTTTTGTGAAATTTGTACTGAACTATTGACACTTTTCAAATGTATGGCATGATTACACACACTGTTAGTCTTGTCAAAACACAATAACCACCTCTCACCTATTGTGTAAGTACATACAAGCAAGTCACACAGTATGATCACAAATACATAAACTCTGTTAAAAATCAGTTTTTATTAAAAAGTACAGGCTGCATATGTGTTCTCAGCTTTTGAGAAACATGACATGTTTTGGGATGTGTCTGAACCTCTCTTTAGTGGTTCATTAATAAAACAGATATTTCAACGTGGGCCTACTTTGTTCATGTGCTGTTGAGGTTAATTTCAGTAGTTGTGTGCTATAATGTATTTACAAAGTGTGAAGAGGAGGCAACTTTAGAATAGGGAACCTGTTCAGGTCAATTAGAGTCAAACTACTAGCTTATTGGTTATGAACAAGACTTCACTTTAAAATAGGGAACATATTATTAGATAGAAATACCTCATTTTGAGTTATTTAGACACAATTAACACTTATAGTTTCATGTCTTGTTACCTAAGAATAGATCATATTTGTTAAGTGTTATTATGGGAGAATTACTTTTCTTGCATCTACTGCCTTATTAGGCCCATATTGAGCAGAGCATATTAAGACCATCACTCATGTACAACAACTTCCTTACTTGCAATAAATAAGCACTAATTAGAGGGTTATTGAGGAAAAACTCTCAACTAATGGCTTATTACTTGTAGAATATGGTCATGTAGAATAAGGCATTAATAAGTGTTTTATAATGACTAATAAAGAGCCAATATACTGCTAATATGCATGCTAATGAACAACTAGTTGATGGTGAATTTGTGCACCTTAATATAAAGTGTTAGCAAATATTCATTAATGCAGTTCAATAGAAAAATATTTAAAAGGGAGTTCAACCTCAACCAACTCCAACAGTAAATGACATTAATGCATTGGTAACATGAATCTAATGATATGATGTATAATAGCTACACAGTCGCAGCTTTGAGTCATTTTACTTTTCAATCATTTTGCAGCACTTTTACTGGTGATAGTGTATTTTTGTGGTATTATTACTTTGGTACGTATCAGTTTACTATCTGTTAATATAAAAATTGCTTCAGCTTTACTTATGTAAACTGTAGTGTTAGTTTAAAATCTAACAAAACATAATTTATATTCTCTTCACTTTTTTATGCAAAAATCTTAATTTATAAGGTAGCTAGTACTAAAGCTGTCAGATAGAAGTAATGAAGTAAAAAGCACAATATTTACCTTTATGATGTCGTGGAGTAGAAGGTGGCGTGAGAAGAATATACTTAAAGGTGGGGTATGTAATTTATTTCAGAAACACTTTTTGTTATATTCCATGGAATGCTCTTAACATCCCGATAGCAATGAATATATTAAATGCTTTGACAAAAAATCCATAAACATTTTTCATCTGTGGAAGCCGTAGTACTGTAAAAAGCACGACCAATCATTTTAGCCGGCCCGGCTAAAATAACTGGATGGCCGACCTGCCTGTCAGCCTTCCATCTGTGCACAAAACTTATCTCGTGCCCTCATTGGTCATGTGCGCGTTCGTGTGTGTTGGAGGAGGGGCTCTGTAAGGAAGGGGCAGATTTTTTCCGGTTGTGTATTTTCAAATTCTAGCGCACTCGAGCTGGTTTCTCCAAAATTACCTACCCCACCTTTAAGTTAAGTACAGTACAAGGACTTTCAATTCGTACCTAAGTAAAGTATGAGCAGCTTTTTTGACAGAACTTTAATTTGTGCTACAACTGCTGGGTCATCTGTAAAAATGCATTAAACAAACTTCATCTATAAATTGTCTGTTTTTTGTCTTTTCATTTGTATGTTCAAGCATTTATTAAAGTGATTGGAGATTTACATAACAAGGTACTACAAAGATTACTTTCAACTTTTATTTATTGATACCAAAAAATAAAATCTTGAGTCACAGCTTAATGGCATCAACATTCAAATGACTCAAGGAAGATTTAAAAAGCAAAGACTTAACAAACAGCATAAATCAGCAGGTAACGTAGACTTTTCTTTTCTCTTAAAGATATCAAAAACATGTGAACATGGTTCAGAGGGTGGTAGGCGATGGCGATGGTGTGGAGCGAGTAATGACAAGAGGAGCGTTCGCAGAAGATCTGAACCCACAGCAGCTCCGCTCTGCAAGGCGCTGAGATTTTATGCCACTCAAAGTTTTTAGAAAACAAACTCCTTACAGAACTGTTACATTTTCCCAGAATGCTGCTGAAGAGAAGGGAGATTGGATTTTGTTTCCCAGTCAGCCAAGAAGAAGACGTATTATTGTAGGCCTGACATATTTCTGCCACAAACATGTTCAGGAAACCGCTGTCTTCAATACGAGAGAGCCGGAGTGGTGAAATGCTTTCAGGGTTTTAGGACTCATAACTGCACCAGTGACTATTAGTTTAAACTAAGCCACGGTCCAAGTCTTTATTTAATCACCCTGTTAGCAACAATCCAAACTTTTAAATGATTTGAAAAAAAAGGCTTGTAATGTTTGATTCATCTGAATTCGTGATGCAGAGAGTTTGAAATAATCACTTTACATTGTGTCCATCAGCGTGAATCCTCCTCGTCAGACTCAAACATGGTGTAATCTGACGCCTGCTGCTCCGTACCTCGTCTGTCGTCCCTCTGCAGCTCTCTGACGGCGAGGATTCGTGCGAGCATGGCCTCCATGGTGCTGTCGTCCAGAGGCGCGGAGGAGAACCACAGGGGGCTGTTGGGAACACAACACTGATCCGGGTGGAGGTAGAACAAGTCGCTGCGCTGCCTCACCGACTCTGAGCTGGAGGACGAGAAGACGCAGAAAATGAAGATTGTCAATAAGTGAAAGGGGGAAAGAGGAGAAAAAACGACAGATAAAGAGTCAAAAACATGACTAAACTCAAAATAAAATGACGCACCACTTGGAGAGGTAGAACTGGTAGAGTCTGACTGGACAGCGGAGAGGGTTCTCCGTGTTCTCCATCATCTCCACGATGTCCTCTTTACTCTCAGTTCTCTTGCGCTTCTTAGCTGGGACGCCGTATGAATCTGAGGAACACACATAACCACATCCACAAGTTCTGTAAGGCTCATACAGCAGTCCCATTGGCTCACTGGTCTTAGCCATGCCTTTCTTGGTTGAAAAGCCCATTTTCATTGAATTTGCACTTCCCTATGTCGAGGCAAGCTAGTACACAGTCACCTGCTCTACGATACGCTGAGTGTTGTTGACATCGCCATCTTAATCCACACAATGTTAATGCAGGAGGCCTTTCGGTCAATTAATAATAAAATAGATGTTAACAATTATTTAGGTGATTTTAACTGCAATATCGGGAAAAAAAACGTTCATAAAATAATCCCCATGTTAAAGTAAGAGATGATGTGCAGGCGGTCATTGATTAAAAAAGGACACCCTAAAGGACCATGCAGTGTTCCCGTTAGTTTGTACTTCCTGTCTGTCTTCTTCTGACGTCCAGTGCTCTGTTTAACCTTTGTCCTTCTCTTGTTTTCCTTTTCTTTACTGAGGACATTTTAGCCATCATGAATCCACAGTTTTGTGCTCTCCACAAATATAAAAATGAATATGAAAGCCCAGCAGCGCCTCCCCCCCCCCCCCCCCCCCCCCCATCATGTACACCTTCTACCGAGGCGCCATCGAGAGCATCCTCAGCAGCTGCATCACGGTGTGAAGCTGCACCCCCTCCAACCGCCCTGCAGCCCATAGTGAGCTCTGCTGAGAGGATTATTGGTGCCTCACTCCCAACACTCCTGGTCCTCCACAACACCTTGAAGCACTCAGCATTGTGGGGGACCCCTCCCATCCCCCATACTACCTCTTCACCCTCCTGCCTTCAAGGAGGAGGTTCTGCAGCCTCCGGTCCAGCTCCACCAGACTCAAAAACAGCTTTTTCCACCAGGCTGTCAGGATGCTGAACTCTCTCCCCTCCCTCCCACCTCTCCACACTCTCAAATATATTGATAATAAAGTTGACTTTGACAATCCTACTGGTACCTGACTCTGCCTCGTTTGGGGGGTAGAAGCGCAGGAAGGTGTTCTTGCTGTTGTCATGGTTGGTTTTGGTGCAGCGCATGACGTGGGCGAAGGACAGCTGGCGGTGCTGCTCCACCGTAGTGAAGCCAAAGTACTTGCAGCAGAAGAAGAGCAGAGTGTTGAGGAGGACGATGGGGGAGTACGTCCCCAGCTGTTTACATTCCCAGAGAAACTCCTCCTCCACACGGGAATGGATATAACCTGTAGAGAGGGAGGAGGGCTGTCAGAAGTCTGATCACTCTGAGCGGGTCATAGGCGGAGAAAAGACACTACGACTCACCGCTGGCTGAGACTGAGGGTCTGAAACTCTTCAGGATCTGGGTGAACATGGTGGAGAACTTGCTGTAGGTCAGATCACTGAATATGTTCTCCATACGGGCGTTCTCAAACAGGTACTGAAGAGAAAAGACAACATTTAAGTCAGATAAAGAAACAAAACTGTGTGAAGGCACTTACATCAGACCCTTCAATAACAATCGACAACACAGTGAATGTGAAACTATTATAAAGGGTCCCATTATTAATAGAATTAGCATCATAATCACATGATATCCAATATATATACACCATGCAGTGTACACAAACGTTAAATGTCATATGGAATAAAGCAAAAAACATATGACCCTATATCTGTATGAAACAGTTACTAACGGAGAAACAAGCTTATATGAGGAATGTTTTCACATTTCTATTATGCATTATGAATGATGGCACATGGTGATTATGTGGTGTCTTATTTTGACTGACTATCCTGCATAATGTACGTAAATATATTTAGCAAAAAAAGATATGGTAATGTAGATTCTTCACAGTTTTTTCATATCAATAACTGTGGTTGATTTATTTATGTATTCATGTACGAGGAAGTGGTAGAAACTACTATGAGAGTGCATAATAAAATGTGTGTGTAATGTTGCTCATCTTGCCTGTTGGATGCTGAGGCAGAGGTAGAAGAGGCCGTCGGGGGGGTACGGCTCTCCGTCAGGACGTTTCACCTCAGTGATGAAACGACACAGGCTGTCGTTCAGCTCTGCCGCGGAGCAGCGGAGAATATCTTTGTTAAACGTCACGGCACAGGCTGACAGGAGAAGAGGCAGGAGGACGTGTCAACAATGTTGTATTGGGTTATCATATACTTTATACGTTGTTTATTGAGTTCAGGTTCCACTGACCTATCTGTTGAGTTATCTAAATTAAAAAAAGATTATTCTTGAAGTGAATTCTAATCTAGATTGTTTGGGCTCAAGCTGAAATACTACCATGCGTGCCAAAAAAATAATATCACAATAATGATAGAAGTGTTAGTTTCAAATACCTTTGCACAAACAATTGCAGACATCTGGCATCAAGATTTGTTCTAACTCAAAAAACGAAACTTTTAGTTTAGCTAAAGAAAGTTGACGAGTTGAAGTAGAGAAGGAAGAAAGACAGAAAGACATACAGGAAACCAGGTCCAGGTCAGTTTGAGATTCCCTCCACTGTATCCATCTCTTCCAGGCGTCGATCCCACGTTGACTGTTCAGTTTGTGGCGCTTCCTCGTACTGACCTCCTCTCTTTGGGAACTCTCCGCTTCAGCCACGTTGGAAGGCTGTTGCGGTTTATGACCCTTTAAAAGAGAATTTAGACAAGATCAAGCCACAGAAAGATGAGACCAACGCATCTGAACTCCCAGGTGGTTTGTTACCTTGTCCTTGTTGTGGACTGTCCCCACAGTCTGTTGTGATAGCAGAGAGACTGGTGCAGGACTCAGTGAGCTCTGGGAATCCCCTCTCAGCTCCAGAGGAGGAGGGGGGGGCTCATTGGCCTGGCACAGCTCTAAAACCGGAGAAGGTTTTTCGCTGTTGTTTGGTCGACAGAGCGATCCAGAGCTGCTGCCAGAGGAGGAGTCTTCCTCGTTGGTAAAAGTGGCCTGATGATCTGAGTCCAAGTCATCGCTACACTTACTGCTGTGGTCTAGAAAGAGATTGATAGAAAATAAATTAGATTCAAGTATAAACTATTGTGAATCCAGATAGTTTGAATGTTTTTGGTTTTTCTAAAGCTCCTTCCAGAGATTTTTTATCTACGTTAAATTATTACCTATACTAAGAATTATCAATAAGCGCAGTAGTATTCTTCAAATCCTAACGATACTCATCCCTAGAGTAAATATTCACTGAGAGAAGAAAGTTGAAAGGAAGCATAAACAGCGCTAAATAAAAAAGAAAGAAAAACAAAGACGAGAAAACAGAATGACTAAATTAAAGGGATGCTTGAATAGATTGACAAATGTAGGGGGAGTCTAATGTAAATTACAACCTCCACTTCCTCTACAAATGAGTCAAAAAAAGTGTCCAACTCAAGGACACGAGTGGAAGCTCTAATCCGTTTCTCCTGTGGGATAACAACCTCCCTCTGTCATCTTACACAGAGCTGTTTTAGCTGTTTAGCTCCGTGCCTTGACTATAACTGTGTTGCAATTGTTAATCTAAAAAGAGAATTCATCTCTAGAGTTTTTTGATCCTGTGAGCACCAAAAGGAGTTTGTGCAACATGCTGAGCCTTACATCAGAGTCTGCCTTAACTCCTGAATGACAAACATAAGTAGATCAGAATCAGATCAAAGGAGGACCAATGTCTTACCCTTTGGAGCACGATTTTCTCGTCTTTGTCCCTCTTTTGTTACCAGTGTGTCTTCTCTCTCCTTCCTCTCATCCTGTGCTTTCTTCAGATCAGACGTGAAGCTGAGCTCTCTCTGCAGGTCCTTCATGGATTTCCCGGTTGGATTTGGTAGAAACACGGGCACAGGCAGCTGCAGCAGGACAGTATGACAAAGACAGGGTGGTACATTTGAAGGTAGCACCTGGAGGTTTTGTTGCCTAACCAGGGGAACCAATGGGAGGAGGGATAGAGTGGGGAGGCTGGATGTGTCTTGAATGGATGTGTCAGAAAGATGCCTGAAAACAGACATTCAACACTTTTCCACACACTCTTTTAAATGTCTTTACTGAAAAAAAATATTCATAACTCATATTCAAATACCTGAATAATTTCGAATATTCGATTAATCGTTCCCATCCCTAGGGCTTAGCAGTGCATCATGTAAGGAAGAAGGGAAACACTCTGATGTCTAAATGTGATCAAGGTTAGCAGGAGGAGTTTTACATACCAGTATGGGCAGGCCCACCGGCCTCGGTGTGTACTGGCTGTACATGCTCATTGGCAGAGGAACGTACACTGGCACTGGGACAGGCAGGACTATGACTTTGGGGAAAGACTTGTCTTCACACACAAAAAAAGGGGAAAAAAAACAGAATCACATCTCTTTTTTCAGGATAGAGGGTAAACGTGTACAGCAGGGCTATTCAATTGGCGGCCCGCGGGCCAAATCCGGCCCCGGGGTGATATTTACTGGCCCTTTGAGTATAATGTTAAAAAGTAATCAATTTTTTTTTTTTGTGCCATAGTGCCTTTATTCCAGAGAGGGTGTTACATTGAGAGATAGAGGGGTAGACAATGCCTGAAAACTTCGACCGGCTTGGGTTTCGAACCCACCTACTATACTGTAGTGACAACTCCTGTCATTGATTGCATCTCTGCGTGAATGATTAGATCATTTCACCTAAATGAAATCAAATGAAACATGTAGGCCTACTGAGTTCTGAACTTGCCATTTAGATCTATAAAGGCCTTGGGGCTATGTTGTTTGATTGAATTAAACACAATATATGCACTCCACTATGCTGTTGTAGTATTTACTGTATCTGAAGCTCTTCAATATGATTGCTCATATTTCAAGCCATCTTTTTCCCAGCCCCTTGCTTTGGATCATTTTCATCAACCGGCCCCCATTCCAAACTAATTGAATAGCCCTGGTGTACAGTACATCTTTGCACTAGTATATTTGTCATAAGAAAATATGTGTGTTGGTCACGAACTCGCTGATTCAATAAAACTGGCTAACATCTTTGATTTGGTAAGGATCAAAGAATGGATTCACAAGAACCAGACTAGCATTTTAGAAATCCTGAAATGATGTTTACCTGTCTGTGTCTCTGTGTTGACAGTCTGCGTCGTGCAGGAGACTCCTTTGTTGTGGACCAGCGGTGTGCAGAGCATGGACTTATTCTTCAGCTGCTTGGGGGAGGTTTGAACACTGGCCTGAAGGACACAACAACAATAACAAAACATCAAAAAGGTTAGATATTAGCTAATTCAAATGTGTGCTTGGAAAAACGTTTTTAATCTAATATGGGTAGGAGTTTTTGGAATAAACTTACATGACCAACCACCTTTGTCTGAATGTCAGAGACCGGCACTGAAGAGAAATGACAGCTTTAGTCAGAAAAACAAAGATGTTCACAGCAACTGAAGAAAGTATTTGTAGCGTTTATAACAAAGGCTGTACCACGTCGTCTTTTTTTTTTACATTCAAAGTTTATTTTTGAATGTATGTTGTATTTTATGATGTCATTACCCTAACCATAACATTTTTGATCTAATCCATAAATTCAATTTTTTTACAAATAAACTGAATCTACAGATGTCTTGACAGTGTGTGAGCTCCAAGTAAATGCAGCTACATAATAGGGTCTTTTTTAAACAACTTACGTAATTGATGAAATATACAATTAATGCCTTTGTTGTTGTGCTTCTATACATGTGATCATAGAGAGTGAGTGAGAGTGAGAGTGAGAGTGTGAGTGTACCTTGCTGTGCAGAGCTTTTAGAGGCACGGAGATGGTTAGCCAAAGCACTAGCGAGCGACACAACGTTAGCGATGACGGGGGAGGATTCCACTGTGCCTGAAGATCGAGGAGGCGAAGAGACTGCAGCCAGGAAACAAAGCAGGGACTGTTGGGATTGATCTTACAGCATTGTATACTGACGACAAACAAAGATCAAACCAATACATACCTGTGCTGCCCATCTGGACCTTTTTATTGCAGAAATGTAGGAGACATCTCAGGTCACAGAAGTGTTTGATCTCTCCCAGCAGGGGGAGACTCTGCCTCAGTTCACCGTCACGACCGCAGGTGTCACATTTGGCGACCTGAGAGAATCAGACAGTTATTGTTTAGTCAATACGCAGCACCTCATCACTATTTTCAAATAACAGCTTCAGCTTTTAGGCTAGCTTATATGCAAGTCGGCCGCAATTAACTATTCGATACATTCTAATTACAAGATTATAAGACGAACAAAAGAAAAAAGACTTCAGTAAGTTAAACATGATTGTGTGACTGTGTGCACAATATTTGTATGTTCTCCTATAAGAGAACATACAAATATGTTCTCTTATAGTTTTAAATAAATGATACATGATATAATTTGAACTTAACATTACTTAGCAAATAAAAACATAAAAAAGATACAAAAAAGGGCATTGCAAACTAAAGTGTCTACAAAGGTTGTTTGTGCAATAAGTCAACTTGTAACTCTACGTACATGGCAGCAGAGCAAATTGTACTGTGAGCTGCAGTTTTCAGAGCAGAACTCTTTGTCAGTTCCTTCAAACGTTGCCGTCACCACCGCCTTAGAGATGGAGGAGCAGTGCGCACACGAGCCACAGTGTTTGCCCCACTTCTTTCCCAGCTCCTGTCCAAAGAACACCCTGCAGCCTGGGAGGAGAGAAGGGAGGCTCAGAGATTCACAGCTTCATAATCCTGAATTTCATTTATTTGTGTTGCTGTTCTTGATTTTAATCATATAAGTGCAAAACTAAAAAAGGATAGAGTATTTGAACGTGCTTCTCACCATCGCTGCAGAAGTAGCAGTCTTTGCCGTTGACCTTCTTGACGTCGTCGATGATGCTTTCGTTCTTACAATATTCACACTTTCCCGTGATGTTGTTGATGCTCTTAAACTCTTGAGAGCACGTCAGGCTACACAAAAAACATATTTTCCCCTGTGCGGAAACACACAGTGTATTTTAAGGAAAAAATAAAAACATCAAAGCTGCATTACTGTTTCTGAGATATCACGGTTAGAGGATTGAAGCTGTTCTGAACAGTAGGGCAACATTGTCAAAGCAGAACTTTGTGAATCAATGGACATAACAGGACTTTTAATCACATCCTCTGGTTTAACTAGCTTTCTGTTCGAGCTGCCTATTCCATCTTTGAAAATGAAACCCCACACACCTTTTTCTCGATGACAGTGGGTGCACTTTTAATCTTGCGACGACACTGGGCACAGGGCAGTGTCTCTGGTGCTTTGAGGAAGTCGCCTTGGGTTTGATCTGCGGCTCCTGTTGTTGAGGTAGGGGCAGTCGTGTCTTTATGGGACTCCTGTGGCAAAGAAACGTACAGAGGTTTTAGAGATCCAATGTGTAGGATTGAGTGACATCTAGCAGTGAGGTTGCCAACAGAATACCCCTCCACTCATCCCTTCTTTTCCAAGAATGTTGGAGGAATATGGCGGCCTTCACGTAACGTAGATACTGTATACTAGTTGTCATTTAGGAAGAAAAGTATGGGCTTTGAAACTAAAACACTGGCTAGTGAAAAGCTGTAGGTATTACCTTAAAAGTCATGGCACAGGTGAGAGAGCAGAAGTTCCTGATGGAGGCATCTGACATGGCGAGGTGGCAGGCTGGTAATGTCTTCTTACCACACAGGTCACAATTCTGTGGATTACCTGGGAGGGAGAAAAGGTTTTGATGATACAAAAATTGCAATTTTGCAAGTATTAGTAACACTTCAGTAAGACTGAGATTTCATCGGTTTACACGCCAGGGACAAGACAAGAGAATGGAATATGCACATTTCTCACAGATACCTTCACACATTTTTTGCAATAATTAAGAAAATAAAGTTTTGTTCCCTCACAAAATCATAGATTTATTGTTGTTTTACTGTAATAAACCTTCACTCAACTCTACACACTGGAGACCGACTATTTCTTCCAAGTGTGCAATTCTGTGTAGAAAAGTTCAAATGTGGTCATATATTCCATAGATGGCACTAAATAAGCATGTTATTGTATATTGCTGAGCTTCATTGCACTGGGTTTCTATCATTTGTGACTGGAGTCCAAATATATTTATCCTACAGTCTGTATGTTGTTAATATATTTGATACATGGCTTTTAAAACAAGACTTGGAGGACAAGGGATAATACCTTTTAGACATCGTGGTTTCGTTAAGGGTTGACTGTGAGCTCCAATGTGACAGTATGAAGATAGTTATGATAACACGATCAACACATTTTCCTCAAACGTCAGTCATTATTTTATTGGTTGGTTATTGTTATTATCGGCATCCAAAATCCTTAGAAATAATTGACGTGCAATTTATTCGCAGAAATGATTTAGTTTGGACTGAAAATACTTAAATCCTCTCTATTTACATTTTGAGGATTTAGACCAATCGACTGCATTACATTTTATCTTCATTGACATACCTATTTCATTGAGAGCTATAATTAAAAGACAGGTAGAGAAAGAGAAGTACAAAGATAAAGAGCAGCTGTGTTGTCAAAGTTTAAGTGCAGTACCTCCTGCGTTCACTGCCTGGATCTTGGCTGCCATCACACAACTGTAGTTACAGAAGAGCTCCACCAGGTCCTCGCTGAATTGGTTTTCCAGCATTTCGGACATTAAATGGGAGGAGCGGCACATGGCACACGGCTGCATAGTCTTATTTTTCTGCAAAGAAATAAGAAAATAGCACAGGTAATAAAGTCAATTCACTGACTGAGTATAACTAAGAGCATTACAATTTAGTAAGTAATTTTTTGGAAGCAATGATTTAGCTTGTTTTGTTTTTTATTTTATAATATCCTTACAGCATTGTAATTTTCAAAATTGAGACCAGTGTGTAGAGGAATGTTTTAACAGAAATGTAATGTAAACCTTCAAATTAGTATCTACATAGCAAGCAGTTCCTCTTTCTTCCTTAAAGTGGACCTATTATTAGTGATGTTACGTATTGCGCCGAGGCTTCGGAGCGTGTGTCGAGTAATCCCCGAAGCTTTTTGTGAAGCTTGTATCGAGGCTTGTATCGTTTTGGGCCAGTGACGTCACCGATGACAAACGAAGCCTCGCTGCCTGTCGATACCACGTGACTGCTTCAGGAAGCGATTCAGATCGGTTGAACCACAACGCTCATAATACCCATGGATGTATAATAAGAACGATATTACCCTTCCTGTACCCGGGCCCGGTGACACAATGGAATTAAGAGAGCTCAGACCCTCACTTATATAGAGGTCGGAACATGTCATAAGTATAAATAAATAACAGCATAACTAAATGTAGGAATAAAAACATGAATAAATAAATGAATAAATAAATACAGCAATAAATAGCATACAGTTTTTACAGGTAGATTCAGTGTGTGTGCTGTGGCTCAGCTGGAAAGCAATTGACTCACAACCCGCAGGGTCCCTGGTTCAACGACTGGTCAATACGTATTTATTTTGTCTATAAAAGCTACAGCTAAATGAGATAATGTAGTTAATAAATGTATTCTTTGATATGGTTGAGCCTTTCTCAGGCTACAACATGGTTAAGTTTATGAATATTATTAAGCATCCCTCTTTGCAATGTTTACCAGCCTCCTTAGGCTTTTCAATCACAATCATTAAACTGGAATAAAAACAATATTGTTAACATGAACATATGATTTTATGTTCGTTGTTTAGAGTTATTCTAAGGCTTTACTCATTGGGAACTCGGTATGAGATAGAGCAGCGGTTCTCAAACTGTGGTCCAGGTGGTCCTTGGAAAAAAGCTAAATAAAATCCACTTTTTATTATCAAGGATTTTCGGGGACCACCTCATATGTGACTTGCTCTATCGAAATCAGTCGCATTGACCCGTGAGGCGTTTTGCTGAACAGAATGGTAATCGCCGCATCATAACAGTGATTGACAGCTGATAGGAATAATGATTGTTAATATTATCATATTAATTCAGACAAACATCGATGAGACAGTTAATTAATGTACTTATTGCAGCAGTCTGCATAGATTTGGTACCCCTGGTCTAAGAGTGAAACAAACTAATTCAGTTATTGTTCAGTTAAAATGCATTCAATTATGTCTGCCATCTTATATATCTCTATTTAAGGCTTTACTGATGTGCCACAATAATGTCACCTAATGTTATTGAGTTAAAATATCAATATTGTGGCTTTCCAAGTTAACATTGATTGATATGACTGCGATTAAATCAGCATATACTTCTGCCAGGGGATGCCACCCCTCAAAATCTCCTGCCACCCTCTTGCCACCCCATGAATATTTTTCTAGATCCACCCCTTTCGTTTCGTTTTCGTTAAGTTAATTTCAGGACAACTTTGGGAATTTTGTTTGTTTGTTTTGAGATTTAAAGTGGACCTATCATGCTATATTTGAATAATATAGTGTAGGACCATAGCTATATAAGGCATATTTATACTTTTTTTTTGCAACAGATCATGCATTTTAGCCATGCCTCATTTTGCTCAATTTGACATTTTTTATCCCTGTTTCTGCAAGGGCAGATTCAGTGAGAACAGCACCATCTACAGGCCTGGCATATGTACTACAGCGTCTCCAGCGCTTTCGAACGGCAATGGCCGTGGCTGTCTCCTCCTGATTGGTGGAGTTGGCCCAATAGCCGTAGCGCCACCGTCCTGACTTCAGGACAGTGTTCAAATCTGGATCAGTTTTTATCAGATCCGTTGCAGCCCCTTTTTTAGAGATTTGGGTATGGAGGAAAATAGAGAGGGTTGTGTTTTCTGACATTTGGTGAGTTCCCTGGAACACCGGGGACACATATTCATGTAGAAAAGACGAACAAAAGTGCATTTTGCATGATAGGTCCCCTTTAAATAGATTTTGAAAGTGGAGATAGAGAGAGAGAGAGAAGCAGCGCTGTCTGCTTAGTTGCAATACTGTAGCTCAAGCCTTTATGCAACTTAGGCCTATACATTGTTTATGTTACTTATGTCCTGTGTGTCCATGGTTTTGAGTCTGTGTGTGGAGCGCAGCGCCGTCTGCTTTTTGCAGTACAGTAACTAAAGTAGGACTAAGCATACCGGTAGTTTTTTGTAGACCTGTCTGGCCGTTTTGTGAGTGCACTGCGCGCGCACTAATAAATAGTGGTCTGCATAAACAAAACGTTTGAGAACCCCTGAGATAGAGCACACTGTTGAGATGTCAAATCTGCCTGTTTTACACACTTTGACCAACAGGGGGGCTTGTGTTCAGATGAAGCCCATGATGAAGTCTCATGAGATGAACCCTTTTGCGAACCAATTGGCTGGAAAGCTTCAAAGCTTCATAAAGCTTCATCTCGCCATCACTACCTATTATGCCAGTGGTTCTCAACTGGTCAGGCCTCGGGACCCACTTTTTACTTGGTCAATACATCGCGACCCAACATTTTGAAGCACTCAAATCTATTCAACAAAAAATCGTGCTGTAATATATACGCTTTTGAGCATACAATATTAATGAAAGTGAAGTACAGTGCATATATCCCTTATATCCCTTCACAGAACTAAAGTATGCTTTTAAAAAAGGTTTAATGAGATGATGGAATCAAAGCTGAACTATATAAAAAGGCACACATGCTGAAAACCCAACCCCAGCAGGGGGGTCTGGGGGGATTCTCCCCCAGGAGATTTTTAGAAATACTAACATAAACTACGCATTCTGGTACACTCTGAGAAGAAAATAAATAAATCTATTACTACCCGACATATTAATAATATTTTATGCTATTGTTTGTTTTTCACTTTGTTCTGACATCTTGCTGTGAGAAGAGTAAAGAGGAGATAGTCTGTGTGATTTACTTTAAATTGTGGGTAAGGGTAGATAGCTCCCATTGTTCTGTGACCTCTCAGTCATCAAACCGGGGGTCATATTTCATTATGTGTTCATTTTTATCTGAAGTTGTACCCATGGATGTATAAAGAAGAGTTCTACCGCAAAGTTATTCTCCGTGGGGACTTCCGGCAACAATCTTGATTCTGATTGGTCAGAAGACCCGAAAAAACATCAGCAAAGATGTTTTATTGAGAAGACGATCGTGACAGAAGTTTTCAAAACCGTTTATGGTCTCCGGTACTTCCAGTCCAACGCCGACTGCATGCACAGCGTTAGAAAATCGGGCCTTAAAAATAAAAGTTTGACTTTTTCCCCCAAAAAAAAAAAAAAAAAGAAATTTCAATTTCTTTTTTTCACTCACACATCCGCGACCCACTCGAAACGGGTCCGCGACCCACTTTTGGGTCGCGACCCACCAGTTGAGAACCACTGTATTATGCTATATTGGAAAAACATATTGTAGGGCCATATCTATACAAAACATGTCTGTGAAGTTTTTTGCTTAAAATACCAAACCCCATTGTTGCCATGCCTCATACTGCTCATACCCCTCTTTTGCAGCCCTGTTAGAGAAACGCGGATTTTGGGTACTTAGCTTAAAAAAAAAAAAGAAAAAGAAGAAACCGGAGCTAATGCCTGATCAGAATTCTACCGGAGATAAAGTTAAATTCTGCTGTGATAAAACGCCATCCTGTTCTAAACCACATCAAAGATTATTTCTGAAACAGTATGGAGCTCAAATGCTTTTTCTCTTGCGGGTTTATCACAAGGTGAGTTCCTTTTTTTATTTCCTGCTTTTTAAACACATGTGCTCTACACAGTACAGGTTAGCTCTGAGTGTTAGCGAGGCTTGCTAATGTAAACAAAGACGAGATTACGTCCAAAACACGTCAGGCATTGTTTCTGATAGCAACTTTCTGTGGGTTCGCCGCCAATTTGACGTCATATCGGCAGCAAATCTGTATCCACTCGTTTTGGGTACGGAGGAAAAGAGAAAGGGTTTTATTTTCTGACGCTGCGTGAGGTCCCCGACACACCGGGGACACATATTTATGTAAAAAAGACATCAAAAAGTACATTTTGCACGATAGGTCCCCTTTAATGTTGCACAAACATGTTTCTATAGTAGCCCAAAAGGGACAAATGATACCCTTGCTCTATAAAGGGGTATTTTGGTGGCAATGTGCAACCTCACCACTAGATGGCAATGAATACACACATTTTTGTTATTTTATCACTGCCTTAGCCTAAAATAATTCAGTACCATTACCATAAAATTCACAAATAACTTAACTTGATACAGCTAAGAGCCGTGAAGTAAATTCTGAAACTTGGATAAAAGTGTACATTTAAAATAATGTTTTTTAGATTGTGTTACCTGCTTGAATTGGGTCAGACACTCGGCACTGCAGAGTTTGATGCTGCCGCCCTCCGTCTTGAGCATGACTGATTTGTCGCAGCGGGAGTGACAGTTCTCACAGATTGACAATTTGTTGATGTTGCAGAAGCGGAGAAAGCAGGGCTCGCTGCAGATCTTGTGGACGACGTCCTGCTTTATGATCTCATGTTTGCTCTGCAGGACGTAGACAAACAACAGAATGTCAAACATAACTCATTTCATATAAAGCTAGTAAACAAAGAACGGAGAGTTAAAATGTTTATATGTGAGATGAAGATATAAGTTTTGCATGCAATATTTATAAAGAGTTTATAAGTCAAATCTATTTGGAAAAGAATGTGTTTTCTATTATCGGAACGTGGCCTATAACACAAACATGTAGTTATTTAAAAGGACACAGTTTGTAGTTAGTTGATTAGATCATTCTTATAGCAGGCATTGTTTTCCCATTATTGTAGGACAGTGAATTAGAGCCACTGTACGGAAAGAAATCATTAATTAATAATTACGAAGCCCGGCAAGAGGGTTATATTCAGATCAGAATATCAAGATTTAAGTCGTAAATTTACCAGATACTTACTTACTCAGATTCTCTGAGATAAGAAAAGCGTACTTTTGTAATGAAGAAATGTTTTTGTTGGAGATTCAAGTCAATGAATCAAGTTGCTTAATATTAAAGAAACATGAACTCTAATTGTTTCTATTAATATTTTCCCTTTTCTCTTACAATGCAGTATCTGGTGCACACGCTGCATTGTGACTGAGATGGGACCGGCTCGAGGGAAATTTTGGTCGACACAATTCTCTTGTAGTTGAAGGAGGACAGGCAGGTCTTGCTGCAGAAATCCATAATCGTCCCCTCGTTATGCACCGCAGCCTGGAGGACGTCCTGAGGCTGTGTAATCCCCCTGAGAGTACGAGGAAGGCTGAGATCAGTTCAAACTCATCTTGAAGCTTATATGAGTTCAGCTGGAGAATATTTAAAACCAATTTCTTTCAACTTGTCAGAGGGACAGGGGAAATGTTAAGATGACTCACTGGAGGCAGAAGTGGCAGGTCTTCTTAACTTGGTAAAATGTCCAAAGGCAGGGAGTGGAGCAGAAGATTTCAGCGTGGCTTTGCCTCTGGAAAACCGTCTCTCCGTCCATCAGGGGCTGTTTGCAGTTGAAGCAAGACGCAGGCAGATTCATGTGGGCTAGAGTAGGCGCTGCAGACGTAGAAGAGTCTTCTGTTAAAGAGAAGACTGATCCAATCTTCAAGTCCTCCTGTCAGAAACAAAAAGAGAGTGATCAATAAGCTGCTAATATTGTTTTTACTGTTATCCTAATGACTATTGTTGACATCTTTTATAAAAAAAAGAAAGGTTTCCTTCTCATATAAAGCGTTTCATGTGTCCTACCATAGCAACATCATCTCCGGCCTTAGGCTCATACTTGATGCCTTGAGTGGAAATGGCTGATGGGAGATTCTGGCTGTACTCTTGTTCATCATTGGGCTCTTCTTTGATCTTGATGAGGAGTGAAGAGAGAGACGGATTAGTTGTAACGTTTACAACAGTCTGTGAGGAGAACTGCTGTTGTCTTTTGTTTGCACTGCAATACACTCAATACACTCAAAAATAAATAATTGTGGTACTCGTAATACTGAAGTCCAACTGTCGGTGATATTACTTATCAAGCACAAAACAAGCTATACTGCTATACAGTACATCAAACACATTACTACAAAAATTGCAGAAATCATATTCATTCAACTGCCTCGAATCAGGAATCTGTGGCTTTCAATAATAACAGAAGAATTTATTCTGGAAGAAAATCAACATCGTTTGTATGTATAGATTTTATATATATATATATATATATATATATTATATAATATATGATATAGATAATATAGTATAATAATAGTATATAATAGATATATAGATATATATATATATTATATATATATAGATATATATATATATATATATATATATATATATAATATATATATAATATATATAATATATATATATAATATATATATATATATATATATATATATATATCGTTTCCCACTGTAGAGTGAAGGGATTCTGCCTGTAGTGAAACAGACAAGCTGGGAGAATGTGTATTATTTGTGTATCGGGATATTTTGTAAAATGTAGGCAGCTGTCTATGCAGATTATACATCATTAAAAGCCCAAAATATAAACTCAAGTGTCAAACAAATGTGGAGTCTCTCTAGGCAAAAACATATATATAGTGGGAGAATCACTAACCCTGCTCTCCGGTGATTAAAATTGAAGCTCACAAAGATCGATTTCAAAATCTTAAAAAGGGACAGTTTGTTTGATTTGGCAGCATGGAACCGCCAATTGCAAAACGGTGGTTATACCGTGTTTGCATAGATAGATAGATCCCCATAAACACTGGTCCTTTGAAATCTGGCATACAGGGTTTATTTAAATAAAAAACATGTGTTGCACTCAATAGATATTATGAAGGCTATAACGCTTCATGATATCTATATAAACGCTTCCTTGTGGGAAGTAATAAAGCCTGACGTTCTCAGCCACTATCCCAAACCCTGCTTCCACTGCAGAGAAAGTGGGTTACAAACATAATACTCACAAAATCCAAATTTTGTAGCGATGGCTTCACTTCTGTAATTTCTATCTCTTCTTGCAAAATCTTCACTTCTTTCATTTCTTTATCTTCAAGTGATGGCTTCACTTCTTTGATGTCATAATCTTCTGGAGATGGGCAGTTCCTTCCTATAAAGAAATGTTAAAAAGAGGGTTAAAGGTGGGGTAGGTAATTCACTTCAGAAACACTTTTTGTTATATTCCATGGAATGCTCTTAACATCCCGATAGCAATGAATATATTAAATGCTTTGTCAATAAATACATAAAGAAATGTCATCTGTGGAAGCCGTGGTGCTGTAAAAAGCACGACCAATTATTTTAGCCGGCCCTCATTGGTCATGTGTGCATTCGTGTATGTTGGGGCTCTGTAAGGAAGTCTGAAGGAAGGGGCAGATTTCTTTCGGTTGTGTACTTTCAAATTCTAGCGCACTTGAGCTGGTTTCTCTATTCTTACCTACCCTACCTTTAAGTGGTCATAGATGATGGTCTACAGAGATTGCTTTCTGAATTCACTTGAAAGAACATTAGATGGGATAAGCAGTGTTAATAATAATGAGCTTTCACTCAAAAAGCGATCGGAAAAGGTTTCTGCTTATTATTTCTTAGAACAGTAGGCTGGTAAATGCATCCCGTTGCTTGTCTTAAATTTGTGAACTGTTGTCAAAGCTCATCAATTATTCAGTTAAAAAGCTATACATTATAATTTAGTGCTAAAACGGGGGATAAAATATACTGATAGAGGATAACCTTGATATTGGAAAGAATTCAATATGACAATATTGTGTAAATATTCCAGTTTTCTTTCATTGCCAAATTCCTTATATTCGTTCTATGATAGTTATTCATTTGGAGAAAAGAGTCAAAATGCACCATAAACAAAGCTAAAGATATGACTGGCAGCATTATTTCCTTGATAATTGTGAAGTGAAAGTCAGATATCATGACAGCCATAGTGAAGCCAAAAAATAAACTGAGTGCAGTACCTGAGCCATTTGAAGACTGAGATCTGTGTACCATCATACATCTGTTGCTACAGAAGAAGTCCAACCAGCCCTCGTCGTTTTTATTATCCACCATGTCCGATAACTGATGGGACGTCCGGCACATGGGGCAAAGCTCAGGCGTTTCAATTTTCTGTAAAGATGTGAAAGAGTAACAGCAGAGAAACAAAGTGAGCAAACATGCAGGATTGGATGGGAACCCTTTATATTATATAAGCTGAAAATGTTTTGAAAATATTAAAATTCCTCTTTACTCCTTAAAGTACGCAGTTTCTCAGTATATGCTCTGTGTATTTGTATTTAAAACGCAGAACATATTTGTAATACTGTGGATTGCCTTTTTCTTTTAATCACAAGCTAACCTGATGTTTAAAAAACAAACTCCTGTGAATTAAAGTGGGCTTCCACTAACAAGAACCAAAAAACAAAAAAAAAAGGTTTAAAAAAGATTATCATAGTAGTCCAAATAAAACTAATTAAATAATAATTTAAATGAAATGCAGCTCAGTGAAGCTTTTTATCTTTCGATGAACCACCAATCCGTTTAAATAATTAAAAACTTTATTTTTGTCTTACACTGGCTTGTTTTTTAAATATCTGGTTGGTTATTTATTTATTCATTCATTTATTTATTCAGTCATTAAATCATTAATTCATTCATTATTTTCCAATTCATGCAACATAATTCAAACTAAATGAAGTAAATAAGTTTGATAATTGACCTACAGACTCGTGCTGTTTGTACACAAAAGGGAGTTGTAGATATTCCAACACTAGTTCCTCAATATTTACAGTGTCTTGGTCAAATGAATTGATGGTGATTTTGACATGAATTCCTCACCTGTTTGAACTCGACCAGACATTCCTCACTGCAGATGCTCTTACTGCCGTCCTTCTCCTTCAGCAGGAACTGTTTGTCGGTGCTGATGGAGCTGCAGACACCACAGGTGTACAGTTGCAGGTTGTTTACTTTTTGGTAGTTGATGAGGCAGGCGTCGCTGCAAATTCTGCCGATCTTGCCATCCACCGTCAGCTTGAATTTGCTCTAGGGATGACAAAAGAGCATGTTGATTGATAGTATTTTTGAAATTCAGATTATTCAAAGTAGAAAGCTACTACTATATTTTCTGAATATCCTATGAAAATGTGTTATTCCTCTGCTTAACAGACCTTATGGCTGCAAATAATGATTATTTTCACTATGTATTTATCTGCAGATTCTTCCCTTATCATGCAGGCTATAAATGCCAGAAAGAAGTGAAAAACATTCATCCGAGTTTCTTTAAGTCCAAGTTATATTTTTAAGTTTCTTGAAATCTCCATATTATCCATCCATCCATCTATCCATCTTCTCCCGCTTATCCGTGGTCGGGTCGCGGAGGTAGCAGTTCCAGCAGAGCCCCAAACGTTCCTTTCCCTGGCCACATCAACCAGCTCTGACTGGGGGATCCCAAGGCGCTCCCAGGCCAGCCAAGAGATATAATCCCTCCACCTGGTCCTAGGTCTACCCCTCGGTCTCTTCCCAGCTGGACGTGCCTGGAACACCTCCCTAGGGAGGCGCCCAGGTGGCATCCTTACTAGGTGCCCGAACCACCTCAACTGGCTCCTTTCGACGCGAAGGAGGAGCGGTTCAACTCCGAGTCCCTCCCGGATGACTGAACTTCTCACCTTATCCCTAAGGGAGACGCCAGCCACCCTGCGGAGAAAACCCATCTCGGCCGCTTGTATCCGTGATCTCGTTCTTTCGGTCATGACCCATCCTTCATGACCATAGGTGAGGGTAGGAACGAAAATGGCCCGGTAGACGGAGAGCTTTGCCTTCTGGCTCAGCTCTCTTTTCGTCACAACGGTGCGGGAAAGCGACTGCAGTACCGCTCCCGCTGCTCCGATTCTCCGGCCCATCTCACGCTCCATTGTTCCCTCACTCAAGAACAAGACCCCGAGATACTTGAACTCCTTCACTTGCGGTAAGGACTCATTCCCTACTTGGAGTGGACAGTCCATCGGTTTCCTGCTGAGAACCATGGCCTCAGATTTGGAGTGCAAAATGCCTTTCTGACATTTTCGCATGAATATGTATTTTAACATTTTTAAAAATCAACATGGCTCAAATGGCTGAGAGTGTACCAAGCTCTCGATTGAACCAACTTCATCAACATATGTTCACAATGATCCCTTTCACTTACATTAAACATGATTTAGTAATCCATTATAACTTATGGAGCCCTGTGCTTACTTACATGGATGGTCATTTCTATATTATCCATACGGTTGAACTTGCTGGCATATTTATTTATTATGATCATGGAAACAATGTTTTCTTTTCTTTTTTCCAGTAAATTCCATTTACTCTACTGTTGCAAATACTTGTTGTACTAGTATGAAAACTATTCAAAAGGTGAAAATAGTTCCCAACAAATGAGCCATTTACTGCAGTTTCAGTCAAGTTTGTTTAAAAAAAGACAGCCATCTTGTCCTTAAAATGTCATATCACAACATAAGGCATTGATGCAACTTAAAGTCAAACAAAAGAGTAAGTATATTTTTTTCTTACATAGACTTTTTGGAAGCACATCTTGCACTCTGAGAGAGGAGGACGTTTGGGGGCCGCCAACTTCCGCTTGGAGTTGACAGAAGCGAGGCAGGCGTCGCTGCACAAGTCCCTCAGAGTTCCTGAATCATCCACTGGACAACGAATCATTTTGCGAGGCCGCAGGATCACCCTGAAGGGGAGGAGATCAGGGTGGGATTTGTCAGTGTTGCATTGGGTGCTTTGCTTTCACACAGAAACCTTGTTTTTTTTATTTATGCATTTTCAGTCTCCTGAGTTGAAGGTGTTTGTTTGTTTTAAGAAGACATATAATGCTCATTCTCAGGTTTATAGTTGTATTTTATGCTTCTACTGTGACATGTTTAAATGCTTCAATGTTCAAAGAGGTCTTAATTGTTCTCTGCTGGCCAGCTCTGTTGTGATTTGTCAAACACTTAGAGATGTCCCGCCCAGTGGCGTCGCCTGGCCTGGGCATCCGGGGCTTTAGCCCCGAATGTTTTTTCTGTAGCCCCGGACAATTCTCCCTCAATAATATAATACATTAACCGGGCTTTACGTGAACCTCATCATGACACAAGAGAGGACGGCAGCACTGTAATTTCCCGTGTTCAGTGAATGCAACAGAGGCATGACACCAGACCAATCAGAGAGTTGCATAGAAATAAACGTGTGCTTGTGTCATTCAAGCTCGGCTCTGTGTGGCAATAGCGCATTTAGTGTGATAGAGAGAGAGGGGGAGGGAGGGACCGGTGCTGTTAGCATCTGGTTAGCTAGTTGCACTAACGGACATAAGGAGCTGTTTGTTCCACAAGAAGCTGGAGGAGAGTCCTCTCCTCTCAGACTGAGAGACTCAGGTGAGCTAAAGGACTCTCTGAGTGTTTAGATAGTTAACTTTAGTCTAAGTTATCTCAGTGGGTCTCAAACGGTTTGGTCACAAATTATTCAAAAGATTATTTCCGCGGCACACCTTCATATGATCATTATAGTTATACAAAAAATAAGAGAATAAATGAAAAACAGTTATGAAATACTATATGGCAGTAAAACAAGAATAGAGTTTAAAAGGGGAGTGATTAGTAAAATATCCATAAAGAAAAAGTACATCTGTTTACAGTTCTGCTTCATATGGGTGCTGAGAGAGGTATCCATAGATCTCTTCATTTTGCTCTCAAAGTGCACCAGATTGATGCATTTAACTTCAATATTTAAAAAAAATCTTCCCGGGGGAGCATCCCCCTAGAGGAGGTGAGCCCCCCACTCATAAAAAATTCCACTTTACCCCTGCATATATGCCGTGAGCTGATTATCGAGCCTTCATTGTAACAGTCGCGGGTGTACTGTGTTGTGTGCGTGTGGGGAGTGTTGCAGTAAAAAATGCCACTGTGGGCTAAGCCCCGAATGTTTTCAGGTCCAGGCGACGCCCCTGGTCCCGCCCCTTAGCCTATCACGTACAATGTATTGGAGCGCTAGCCAATAGAAGCAAGCGTGTTACATAGGGATGTCACTCTGTTGCGGAAGTAGAAAAGGAGTCCAATGGAGGCGTTTGAGGCAGGGGGGAGTGTGTGGGACAGTAACTCCCTTTGGAGGAGACACAGGGATTTTAACCTTTGCAGACCATTTACTGTACATGCACAAAAACATATAGAACACACTACAGGAAAGGGAAATCCCCCAAAAACATAACAAGGCCTCTTTAAACATAAGCTCAAGATCTTCAATTTATAACCACACCTCACAGCCCAGAAGCTTGAACAAGGGAATGCTTTTTTAAATGTTTTCTCTTGAAAGAAACATAAATTGATTTTCCAAATACTATTCTATACTATAATACTATACTATACAATAATACTATACTGTAGATACTGTATCATAACTGATGAACTTTGTTAGAAAATTTGAATTTAGTACATTTTGTCTGTTTTATACAAATGCAGACGTACAGACCCGAAACAGCATATATAGAAATATCCAGGACTTACTGGAAGCAGTTGTAGCACGTTTTGGTGACAACTGTCATGTGGGGATGCTTTTTGGCGAGGCATTCTGGTGAGCAAAAACTCTCCTTGGAGCTCTTTGGCTTGTAAAGCGTCTCTCCCCGCTGCAGTGTCTTTCCACAGTTGCAACAAGCAACCGATGAACATTCAAAGAGGAGTGTAGTTATGACCTCTGCAGATGCATCATTTTCGTTTGCAGTGGAGGGCTCACTGATCTTTCCCTCTTCCTGTGGGACAACACACAGTTATGGTACTGTTACTTATCTAGGCTCAAATCAGACAAACTTTGTATTTACTATGAATTTCTTTTATGCAATATACTCACAGTATTTTGTTCTGACTGCTTGTCGCTTTTCTTCTTCCTCTGACGACAGTTTTTCTTTTCTGAAGCGAGAAATCAGAAACACATAACAATTATAAAACGCCCTGTAAATACACAAGTTATCTTTTACTCATGGATGCACACATGAGTAGCCACAGTGGTTGACAATACATTAATAAACACATCAATCTGCTCACAACTACATCCTAGTCTGTTATAAACCATTATGAAAGGTTTATATATTAATTCAAATGTTATCAAGATTAAGATCAACATTTATTAATCCACGAGGGGGAATTCAGTCAGTAAAACTGGACATCCCGGATCATATTTTATTTGGGGATGCACCAATTGTGAAATTCTGGACCAATACCAATGCTCAAAATAATAATTTGGCAGATATAACCTTTAAAATGAAAGTTTTACTGCTTTTTTTTGTGGAACATATGGTTCTTGTTGCTGATCTTTCTCAGAATTAGTTCCACTTTTTTGTAAAGAAACAACACATGGATGGCACACTATGCCAGTGTCTGGTTAAAATGAACTGAGCCCAACACATGACCAATACATTTAGCCAGTGCAAAATGAATAGAAAATGTATTCTCCAGTACCTTGAAGCTTGTTTTCATTTCCAGGCCACAGCTTGTACGACGCCACACATTGGCTGGAGCAGAAGAGCTTCACCATGTTCTCCTTGTTTTTGTAATCAATCATTTCGGACATCGGGTGAGGGGTGTGGCACAAGATGCATTGGTGGGGTGTGTTGATTTTCTGCAGAATAAAGGGGGACAAAAAGTCGGAGATCAAACATCTCAGTGTCTTGCTTTGTGCCTTTAAGGTCCATTTAAGTACATTTTATTTTCTAATTTTTTATAATCATATTTTAAAGAGTAGTGGGTTTTAAGTGCTGATATTGATGTTTTTAGGTGGCTATATTTGCTGCTGTCCTCATCCACAGCTGTACATTTCTTAGCTCCTTTCTCTTTCTCCAAACTGGGACCCAGCCAACATCATCTACCCTTACATATAGGAATATGGATAAATACCTCATCAAACCCTGCTTACAAACATCCAAACTTTATCAATTTAAGTAACGTTTTTTTCTTTTCTTTTTCTTTCGCACCTCTATGAACTGGCGCAGACAGTTCTCACTGCAGATGGTCTTGGTCTCCTTATCCACCTCCAGCTTCAGAGGTCTGTTGCGGCAGGTGGAGCTGCAGATCTCACAGACGGCCTTAATCTCCCCGAGGAAACCCTCCAGGCAGGAGTTGCTGCAGAACGTGTGGACATCTTCATTCAGGGTTAACTTGCAGGTGATCTGAGGAGGATAATGATAAAGAGCCATCAATACGACAAAAACGTTATGGCTACAATAAAATAAATTTAAAAAATTGTTTTTTGCTTACAGTGCAGGATTTGTTGCACATGCTGCAGAGCTGCTGTGGTGTTTGGGTGCATACAGGGTTGGACTTAAAGGAAATGAGGCAGGTGGGACTGCAGAAGTCCTTTATAGTTCCTTTAGTGTCCACTGCAGCCATGATGAGGTCCAGAGGCTTTGATATCGCCCTGACACAACGAGGAAAACAGGTACAAAAAATGTGAGTACTAAAACATTATTTTCTGTTTTAAAGTCGTGTTTTTGAACAGACTCACTTGAGGCAGTGGTGACAGGACTTGGTGTCTGGTTTGTTGTTTGGGAATATTTCAAAAAGGCAGTTTTTGGAGCAGAAGACATCTGCGAATCCCTTCTTCTGGTAAGCTGTTTGGCCCTTCATCATGCTTTTCTTGCAGTGGGAGCAGTTCATCTGCGTCGCCTGAGATGCGAGTGAACATGGCAAAAAGTACCTGCTTTGATTGACTGTAGTTTGTTGGGCAAGGTTTAAACACATACATGCTAATCAAGCAAAAGTATAACAAAATAACTGGCATTTAAGTTAGAACTGCATTAACTTTATACAACATAGAAACATATCTAGAATACTATTTAGAATGAACCTGTATATTATTGAGAAAATTGAGAGAAGTTCCCAATGTTTGCACTTTTAGAACACTACTGTTCTTACAAACAAGACAATGAATAAGATAAATCTTTAAAAATATATATATTTTGCTCTGAGGATTGCATAAAGGAGTGTGGTTTCTAAAATCATGATTATACTATATATGCGTTTACCTTTGCAAAGCTCGGCTTGTCTCTGACGTTTTTGGATGTAGAGTTTGTTTGCTTGTTTTCCTCATGGATGGACGGATCTTTCACTGGCGATTTGACGGAGTTACAATCAGAGGGTAATTGGGAAATGTGGACTGAAGTCTGAAACTTTTCCTAGGACAAAACATAACAACAAATAACAATATTGCCAAATGGGGAAACTGTGGCTCTTGTTATGCAAATGATAACACTTTGTTAAAACAGAAAATAAGGTTTTTATGAGACTTTTCAAATGTGTGTCATTCATAATTTCTTACTACATAGGCTACAGTTTTAGCAATCTACACCCAGCCATGGGTGTACAATAGACACCCATTACACAAAAAGAGTGATGTGGTTGCCAACATTATGTGTATAAAGAATGTATTTAATGTATTAGTATTGTAGTAGTAATAGTAGTAGTAGTAATGTATTTAATTCATACTTCAAACCAGATTTTGAGAATGAAAACGAAAAAAACTGGATACTCACAATGTCAAGTTTGGGGATTAATATCTTCACTTCTTTCATTCCAGCGACTGCAGCTAATAATTTGTTCTTCTTTTCTATAAAAAAAAGAACACAAAGTAGGTGTAAAACCATTGAAATGTTATACAGTCCACATGCTTCTTTACAGACATTCATGGTCCCCAGAGGATGAAGCTTACCCACTTAGGTAATTCATTTTCCCTTTGCTTATCCCTGGACTTAATTGCAAATAATAGGCCAAGTTTAAAACTTATTCAATAAATAGTCTGACATTTCTTTTAGAAGGATAGGCACAACATTTGGTTTGGACATTACTGGTTCCTAGATTATGTATCCTTCTTAACGACTTTGTTGGCTTAAGAAATCTCTGGTTACATTTTACCTGCATTTATGAAGTCAGGGGAACTCCTGATATCCACATCCATGTTGTTTGCTGTATCACCTTCCATTGTCTCTTCAAGCTCTGCATCCGTTGCGCGATTGTTAAGTGAACAATTGTTCTTCTGACTATCACTGCTGTCATTGTCCTGCTCTGTCACATCTGGTATCAAAGGCGTCGTTTCACGTTCTTCATCATTTTCCTCATTTCTGACAGTGTCTTCATCTGTGTCCATGTCAAAGTCCGCATTCATGTCATCATCACCATCACTGAAAGACATGTGTGTAGCATCCTCGTTGGTAGGAGACATGGTCTTCTCAGGAGTGATGACAGCAGAGCTCTCGGGCATCTTCTGTGACTGGTCATCCTTCTCTGTGTTCTCTGAACACAGAGAAGGATGACATTTTCGGATGACATTTTCCACATCGCTCATCTCAGAAGAATCACTGTCCTGCCTCTTTTTCGGGGCTCGTCTACGTTTCTTCTGGAAAGGAATTTTTTTGGTTTCAGAAGAGTCTTTTGTGAATGGAAGACCTAGAGGAGATACATTTGAGAGAACATTATGAAAACTTGTATTATTCACTATTTACTTATTCCTTTCCTCCTTTTGTCCTTGAACAAATAATGATCTCAAAAACAAATGACACAGAGTATTCCATATCCTGTATAAAATGATAAATCTGCGCTCCTCAGTGCAACAGGCTGAAACCAAAAGTCATGGACAAAAGGTCAGCGAAACTTGTGCTAGATATAAATTGTTTAATATTCATAAGAACTGGAGCCCCGATTTAATTTGTGGGAAATTAGAACAATATGGTATATATGGATAAAATACATCTATTTCATCTTACTTTGTCATGAATTATGAAATAAAAATGTGTAATAATACATTAAAAACATATTGCATTTAAAACAAGACCTCAGTGAGTAAACAAAAAAGGAACCAAACACAAACTGCTTGGGCTTCAAGGGGTTAAATCAAATGATTGTAATGATTGTCGTTTAAAAGGAAAATACCCTAAAAGATTAAAAAGAGAGTTAATGAATCTAGATTTCCAAGACAAAGTCACCTAACTCCAATATAAATGATTTTATAATAGACCCCTCTTTCACATTTAATATATTGCTGTATCAAAAACCCTTATTCAAAAGTATCTGAATCGGTAATTAAGCTAAAACAGTTCGCTGCTCAAAATGCAGCTGTTTTCTGACGGTAATCTTGTGCCAGTGAATGCTAATGTAATGATGCGTTCTAACAGCTTCAATGCCACAGAAAACGTCTGCATGGAAAAACTATTCTGAATTACAGATGAGTATTGGAGTTAACAGTATCAGAGTTTGTGTGTACTACCTACTTCGCAGCAGAAGAGAACTTTCTGATTCTTCATTGTCCTCCTCAGCATCAATGTTCTTGGAGTTGTCCAGCTCTAATTCATCTGCAAAGGAAAACAAGATATATATTGTGGTACCACTAGGACTAGGTGATTTGGATTATCAATTCATGACATTATTCCAAAGATTTATATTTTTTTATTGAATAATCAGTTAAAGGCTTCTGTCTACTGCAGGGGTGGGGAACCTGCGGCCTCCAGGCCGTATACGGACCGCGAGACCATTTGGTACGGCCCTCGAGGTAATTTATAAACACACGCAAAAAATAATAATTAAAGAAATCTAGACCGCAAAAGAATTAAACAAGCGAGTGCCTGTTTTTCCTGGCCAAGGTCAGGGTCCTTGAACACAACACGAGCCTAACGTGTCATCACGTGGTATATGTCTCGCCTGACACATGCTGAAGGAGAGCACCGGAACGCTGCTCCGCCACTTCAGAAATTGCAGTACCCATAAGGAGCCGTACACATGCCGCAGTTTTTGTGTGGCTGTGTCTTTAGTTGTAAGCCCAGTGGCGATCTGTTCATCTGTCATATTGATACAGTCAATAACTTTGTTGTTATTAGCATCTGGTTAGCGAGCTATGCTAACGAATATAAGAAGCTTTTTCTACAACCAGTGAGGTAGAGGCACATCTTTATATGATCATTATAGTTATACAACATTAATGGCGCATTTCCACTACACGGCCTCGCTCGGTATGGCTAGGCCTCGTTATGCCTTGTTAGGACTGGCCCACTTTATGCTGCGCCCATCTACTTCCGCCCCATGGGACCTTATTTCGGAAAAATAATGTATTGAAGTCAATGGAGAGAGAAAACTTATCTTTCGATCCCGTTTGAATTGTGCCATGAATTACACATATGATGTTTGTCAATCTTAAAAAATAATTTCCATGTCAAAAAAGTCACAGTTTGTCGTAAAACTGTTGAAATATAAGACTATGAAAAATACGCAACTAGAAAGACTACAAATCCCAGAGTCGCGTAAGTGATGTCACAATTGTTTTCCTCCACTAAGAGATAGCTAAGATCAGCGCCATATAGATAGAATCTATCTATATGGCGCTGGCTAAGATAAGATAACTTTAACAAGATGCCTGTGTGCTTAGTACCAGGTTGTTATCATACCAGCAATGGGTCTTGCTCGTTCTTTCGCTTCCCGTCTGATGAAAGGACCAGGAGTGTCTGGATCAAGCTAGCTAGTAGCTAGCACGTTAGTTAGCATTACAGCCTTGTCATTTGTATTAGCCTTAACATGAAGTAACATTAAGTAACCCAAAATGTTAAACAGTAAGAGTAGTAGTCATATTTCGTGAACCCTTTGAAGAGTACTGTCACCGGTGTGATCATTCTATAATACACAATTTAAGCCAGGAGGAGAAATGCTAACGCTAACGATCTTCTCTACTTCATGCTATCTGCACAAATGGTTGACATTAAACATTAAAACGACCAGGCAGTTCAGAGAGAATCAAAGGAAGGCAGGCAGGCAGCTTTGCATGACTTTCTTCAGGACGTGTTTCATTGTGGTGATAGTGAGGGTAGTCAATCGTTTTGTTGACAAGACAGTAGTGACGGCCATCTTGGTGACGTGTGTTGTTGACCAGAGATGTAGTTCATTGAGTGTTTCACACAAACAAAAGTGTTACTTCACAGTTTTACGACACTTTTTTTTTTTTTTGACTTGCAAAATTATCTTTTAAATTGACAAACATCATATGTGTAATTCGTGGCACAATTCAAACGGGATCGAAAGATAATCTTTCTCTCTCCATTGACTTCAATACATAATTTTACCGAAATAAGGTCCCATGGAGGTCCACCGGAAGGGGAGGGACTTCGCCACTCTATTACAGTTTAGGAACTGGGGTAGTATCTATAGTAACGCAGTGTAGGCGGAGCCGTGACGTCATCTTCAATGAGAACCCCAGAATAACAACATCAGCCGTTAGCTGTTAGCACTCAAGCTCACAGCTCCTCATATCTGTTCAGAAACTAGACAAAAGTTAAACAAGTACAAACCACAGACTGTCTGTGTCATGGCGAATACAGTCGCTGGTTTATTTATGTCTGTATAGGCCGTTGTTGTGAGTGTGGACGGTCGGAGCATATATTGCGTTAGCTTAGCCGATCTCCATTTAGACAACGCGCATTTTAAAAGGTTTTTCGCCTGCCGTCTGTCTGCAGACTTGTCAAAGCATTAATTCATGGTCTTTACTAACCGGTATCAGTATGTTGTTACTTCGGCATCATTTTGAAACGTCTATTACAATTAAATCACGGTCAAATATGTTCATCTTGTTGTAGTTGTAGCCCCCTTGCCAGCGATTCTCTCTCTAGTTTAGCAAACTCAGCCCGACTCAGCCCTGTTTGTTGGCCCCGATAGAACCACGATTTTGTCGGGCCAGAAAAAACGCTTAAACCGCACCATGGTGGAAATGCGCCATAAGAGACTAAAGGAAAAACTGGTATAAAATACTATATGACAGTAAAAAAAAGTTGTTATTAATAAACAAGAATACAGTTTGAAAGGGGAGTGATTTGTAAAATATCCATAAAGAAAAAGAAAATCTTCTTACAGTTCTGTTTCATATGGGTGTTGAGAGATGTATCCATAGATCTCCTAATGTTGCTCTCAAAGTGCACCAGATTGATGCTTTTAACTTCAACATTTCAAACAAATCTTCCCGGTGGAGCATGCCCCCGGACCCCCCTAGAGGAGGTTAGGTCACTTAATTCATGTTCACATGGATAGGAAACTAAATACATTTGCACACATCTTGTGTCCATATCTTTCTGTTTTGGTGGTCATACCACATGCGCGAGTCATGGTAAGATATCTGGATTAAGAGGTTGCTTTTTCTTTGCACAGCATGAAAGAAAGGCGAAATGAATGGGCTGTGATTTTAGTATTTTTAAGCAGAGGTTGAGTTCAATAATTTGTACGGCCCTCGGAGGATGTTGTAAAAATTGAAATGGCCCTTGAGAGGAAAAAGGTTCCCCACCCCTGGTCTACTGAAACAAAAAAACACGAAAAAGCCAAATAGGGCTTCTTTAAGTAATGAGCTGAACACATACCTGGAATGTCAATTTCCTTGAGTGATTTGCCTTCATATCTTTCAAGAGATCCATCCTCCACTGCTGACAGGAGCACTGAGATTTTTGCAATGTCAGCAGCTGCGTCTGGCGTCTGATAGTACTCTCTGTCAGTCTGAATGTCGCGGCCCAACAGTTTGGCTAGCTGACCAAGCTCGTCATTCGTGAGGCTGACAATCTGGAAAACTTTGGCAATATGTTTATGGAAAAGTGCAAAGCGAAGGTTTGACGAGTTCTTTGCACCACAGCGAGCTGCAAAACTGGTGGCGAGGCGATGTCCTTCGTAGAAGCTTTTATGTGAGCCATCCGGTCTTGCGAATAAGAAGGGATTTTCTGTATGTACACCACATGCCTCTCTCTTGTTCTCAAGCAGGGTTAGTGCAGTGATCAATTTAGGGGTCAATGTAGCAGTAACTTTTTGGCCACCAATGGTCTTAACGTTTATCTTCACGGTGTGGTTGGACACCATTTTTTCAAACTCTGACTGGCTAGCAGAATCGTCTTTATGAATCTCTGTCTGGTCCCGTTCAAGGAATGACTTGAGCGTTGCTTTTGAAACTGCTGCCATATTTTTGTTTAAGACTGACACTTCTGCAGATGTCACCCTCATAAGTGCAGTGTAGACTGAAGAGCTTTCATGCATTGTCAGACTTTGAACCGCCAAAGCTGCTGTCTTCTGTATCCACTGATAGAAAAGCTGCACATCATGTATGAATGGTATTGTTGGTATATTGTTTGCACCTGATTTCAGTGGGACAAAGTTCCATTCTTTCTCACACAATTGTATGAATTTCTGTGCTTCAAGGATCTTCTCTGTATCAGCATTCTCTTTCCAAGCTCTGGCAAAGCTAATGTCAGCAATTTTCTTAAGCGAATTTCCTAAATCATTCATGAGAGTTGGTTTTTCACAGGACATGGTTTCTTCATTGAAGCCACTGAGCTCTCTCACTGCTTCAACAACTTTGCTGAAGTTTTGCAGTTTAGTAGCATCTTCCAAGCTACATATCGACTTTTTCTTCAATGCTAACAGGAGTCGTCCAATTTGCCTCAGCCTCAATTTGACACAACTGTATGTTTTTGCTGTCGTTTCCTTCCTGGGGTACATAACCTGTGCCAACTGCAGTAGTAAGGGACTATTCCAGATTTCATATGAAATGTCATCCCTCTTCAGTGTTTTTAACAACTTCCTCACAGCTGATGAGATTTGTTTGGGGTCTGTTGACTCCGCAGCAGCTGAAACTTGTGTCCTTTTACCTATCTGAGGATCTGAGGACGTCTTTGCAGAACAGTTGGGCATATGTCGCATAAGTTTCTCACGAACAAATATGTTCTTACAGTACAGACAGGCTGCATAGGTTTGAGTAGGGGTGGGAATGCTTGGTCTCCTTTTCACTTTAAGTTCTCCACAGCGAGTCTTCAAAACCTCTTGATTGTGTTTTTTATTTCCTCTGTCACGTAACTCATTCAGTAGAGCTTTTCGTTGTTTCGAATTTCTGCGTAGTTTTAACACTGCAGCTATATTAGGCTCTTCATTTCTATGGGTAAAAAGGTGACGAGAAATTTTAGTCTGAGCTGCACCGCAAACGTAACAATAATTTTTTTTGGTGAATGAGGGGTCTTTGAGCTCTTCATCAGAGCTTGAATCAGTGTTGTCCTGCTGCCTGGTGCGTGGGGCATCAACGTGTTCTTCAAAGCTCTGCTTTTCAGAAGACGGCACGTATTCTTCGTCACAGCAGGATGCTGCAGAACTGAAGGATCCTGCTGACTCCTCAGCCTGGAAATATAAAAAAACAAAACATTTAGTAATTCCCCACTATGCCATAAGAGCACAGCCTTAGACTCATATATTCTACTTTTAACATTGTTAAGCTTGTTTTGTTTTCCTTTTTCTCTTTGAAATAAACTGGAGCAATCTAAGATGTTCTTGTGCTGCTTTCTAGTTAGGTAATTCTAAGACAGATTTATGCTTGATAAAAATGGTTTAACAGGAGTCCAGCTGCAGAAAATAACAGCATAGGTTTGGAGTTATAGTTCAGCACTAGAGCACTCATTCATATCACCACCTCAAGCATAGACAGATGAAATACACCCGATTAAGCAGTATTGCACTTTGATAATATTAGAGTCTTACTTACTACTACAACCACCTTAATATTGTCATCATGGCCAACAATCTCCCATGGCATCAGAAAATTGCAGAAGAAAACACAAAGCACTAGGGATGCATCAATTTAAAGTGGACCTATCATGCTATATTTGAAAAACATATTGTAGGGTCATACCTATATAAAACATGTCTGAAGTTTTTTTTTCAAAATACCAAACAGATCATGCATTTTAGCCATGCCTCATTTCGCTCTATTTGCTCTTTTCCAGCCCTGTTTTTGCAAGGGCTGATTCTGTGACGTAGCTTTAATGCAAATGAGCTGGAGCTGACCACGCCCCCCTGAAGGAGAGGGAGATCAGCTGCTGGGCTCTCAGAAGAGGGGGAGGAAAAGAAAGGCTCCGTGTATTATTCTTATTTTGTCCAGAAGATTTAAACTTTAACGGACATGTTGACCGGCGAAAAAATATGTAACTGAAACTCTGCTGCACGGTCCCCCCTCGTCCCTTGGAAGAGGCGGAGAGGTGGGTGTTTTTCATCTGCTGGTGTCAAACCGGAGAGAATTACAGCAGCAGGAGCAAACGCTTGCCTCGGGGAGGGAGAAAAAGAGCCAGAGCGTCCACAGCGGAGAATAAACAGAAGGGCAACCATGGCATCCATGCGCGGGAAGTCTTCTTCGCTGCTTTTCTGGCAGACTACAGCGCCACTTACAGGCCTGGCATATGTACTACATCGTCTCCAGCGCTTTCGAGCGGCAATGGCCGTGGCCGTGACCCAACCTTCCATTCCCCTGATAGGTGGAGAGTTGCCCATATAGGCGGAGCTCCCTGTTTCCGACGTCAGAATAATTTCAAATCTGTATCAGCTCCGTTGCAGCCCCATTTTTAGAGATTTGGGTATGGAGGAAAAGAGAGAGGGTTGTGTTTTCTGACACTTGGTGAGTTCCCTGACACATATTCATGTATAAAAGACGTACAAAAGTGCATTTTGCATGATAGGTCCCCTTTAACATTAGTACCAGTGGCAGTTGTTTTCTCTTTGTGTTGTTTTTTGTGGTCTTACTCAGACAATAGCAGCAACAAACTCAACTGCAGATTCTTTGAAGAAGCCTCTGGATATACACCATCCTGCCATGGTGTGAAAGGTTTGACTTGTGCCATGAAAATGTACGTCCAAATCAGCATTGTGATGCTTTGTGTTTTTTTTGTACTGCCGTTCGGCCACATTTACCATGTGTTTTATAAGGATAATACATCAAACACTTACATCCTCAGATGAAGAGTCTTCAGCATTTAGATCCGTTTGTGGTGTATTCTGTTCACTGGATTCCTGTAAAAATGGAGCTTTGAGTTTTATTCTATTAGACATTGGTGAAATTGTCATGATTAGCATTTGATTTTTGAGTTATAGTCTTCTAGAACAGTGGTTCTCAACTGGTCAGGCCTCGGGACCCACTTTTTCCTTTGTCAATAAATCGCAACCCGAAATTTTTAACCACTCAAATCTATTCAACAAAAAATCGGGCTGTGATATATACGCTTTTCAGCATACAATATCAAAAAAACATCAGCAAATATGTTTTATTGAGAAGATGATCACTACGTGACAGAAGTTTTCAAAAGCGTTTATGGTCTCCGGTACTTCCAGTCCAACGCGTAATTCATGCACAGCGTTAGAAAATCGGGCCTTAAAAATAAAAGTTAGACTTTTTTCCAAAAAAAAAGAAAAAAGAATTCAATTTTTCTTTCTTCTCTCACACATGGGTGGGTCGCGACCCACTCGAAACGGGTCCGCGACCCCACCAGTTGAGAACCACTGTTCTAGAACATGTTTTGTCAGGTCACAATAACCTTAGACCACGGAATTGTAATCAATTAATCTTTCAGTCCATGCAAAATGTGTATAATATCCCTCCAGGTGCTCCTGAGATAAAGTGTTCAAGAGAATGGGACGGATAAACAATATATGGATAACTTAAAGTCATATGGCCTTCTTCCTAGGCTGTCACCACTGTTGAGGCACAAACAAAGATTATAAACCTACCCTTGGGCGCCACGGATAAGAGGAGTCTCCATAATTGTAAGTTATCTCCTCGCCTGGAGATATTGCTGTCACTGTGAACAGGCACAGGTGTGGTTTTCCCTCATAGACAATTTTCTTCATTTCACAGTTTGGACTTATATGATCGTCATTCACGAGTCTCCCGAGGGTCCCATCTTCATTCAAGGCTGTAATGCTAGAAAGAAAAATATTCTTAATGATACTAAAACCACGGACAAAATATATTTTGTACAACATTGACTGGGCTCGATTTGTGACAGATTGTTAGATACTTTATGATTTCATTATTAGCAACTTACACCTGATGCACAGGCGAATTAAGCAATTTAAATTCTACCTATCTAACTTTTTCAAATGTACACTGACATGGTAGCCTGATGTTGAAATATATTGTGTAAATGTACTACATACATACACACGTTGATAAATCAATGTTTAACTTGATAACATCAATATTTTCTGATCAAAAGCCAAAATATAGATTTTTTTTTTTACGAGTCCCCTCCTTAACTGAAAAATCTGAAAAATAAGTAAACTCACCGCCAGTCTCTTCCGATCCATGAGAAATCAAATGAATAGTTTTTCAAAGTGTCACCACACTTTTTTTTCCTGGTTTCTTTGCGACGGGAGATGTTCCCACGATACTCAACAACAAAGGTTGATGGTTCAATGGATTCATTTGTAAACACACCCCTCCCTATAAAAGCAACAATAAAAGAAATTCCATGTTACATCCAATTATTGACCAACAAATTCAGTAAGAGTTATTGTGCAGAGCTCATCCTATAGTGCACCGGTCTTTCTTTAGGACTCCCCGTTTGCATTTAAGGGTTAGCTATAAAGGAAAAAACAAAACAAACCTTTAATGGGGTCAATAAGCCGTTCCTCCAGGAAGGGTTTGTCTCCGCATGTCTTTATGTGCTCAAGGGCGTCTTGCTCAGGAGTCAGGCCTTGTTGTTCCGCAGCATCTAGAAACGTTATTATGTGTTTGATCAATTTCTGTGTTATTTGGGAGATGAAAGTATGAATAAAACAGAAACATTTGACAACATACCCCTCCACTGAAGGAAAACATCTGATTCTTCAAAGTACTCTACACCATCATCACTTTCAGAGTTGTCCTGCTCCGTATCTGACTCCAATTCATCTTGAATAAAAGGCAAGATATAATTAGTTATATGGTTATTTGTAGTTTTAAAAGAGTTTTTTCTCAACCACTGGCAGAAACAAACAGTATAACACTGGATGCCTACCTCCAATCTCAATTTCGTCCAGAGATGTTCCTTTGAATCTTTCAAGAGTACCCTTTTCCATTGCCAGAAGAAGTTTTGCTATTTTTGCAAGTTCCAAGGCTGCCTCTGGCGAACGATAATAGTCCCTGTCGGCCCGGATGTCCTGACCCAACAGTTTAGAGAGGTCATTGAGCTCGTCGCTCTCCAGGTTGAGAATCTGAAAGATTCTTGCAAGGTGCATTTGAAGATGTAACGACGTGAGATGTAATGGGTGCTTTGCACCACACAGACCTGAAAAGAAATTCATGCAGCTCTTTCCAGAGTGGGTGCTTGTGGGAGAAGAATCAGGCTTTGCAAACACGAAAGGATTGTCTTTGTGTACGCCACATGCTTTTCTCTTGCTCACAAGCAGATTTATTGCACTGACCATTTCAGAGGTCAACAAGGCAGCAATGTTTTGGCCTCCCCTGCTCCGAACATTTATCCTGATGAAGTGTTTGGACAACCCTTGAGTAGAGTCATCTCTTTCCTGGAATGTCTTCAGTGTCATTTTTGAAACCTCGGGTGCACATTTGCTTAAGACTGATGCTTGTGCGAGGGTTACTCTGCAAAGTGCATTGTAAACCTGTGGGCTTTCATACTTTTCTATGGTTTCACTGGCAGAAGCTGATGTTGTTTCTAGGTTCATGTAGAACATCTGCACATCTTGTGTGAAGGGTATGGTATATGCATTGTTTCCTTTTCGTCCACCCAACGAAGGTCGGGCTGTTTGGGCGACAAGTTCACACCATTCATTTTCAAACAGTTTCAAGAATGCTTTTGCGTCCTTCAACATCTGCTCATTACTATTACTTCCAGTGAGGACAATGGTGCAGATTCTTTTCAGCGACTGTCCAATTTTCAAAGGAAGACTTTGTATGTTATAGCTCTGCATCTTTTTATCAAAACCTGCGAGGTCTTTGACAGCCTCTACAACTTTGTAAAAATGTTTTGGTTTGATAGCATCCTCAAAGCTTAATATCGACATTTCGAACAATGCCAACAAAAGTCTTCCCATTTCTCGCAGACTGCTTCTTATTTTTTCATATTTCTTCTGGTTATTTCCATGCTTCTTGATCAGATTCTGTGCCAGCTGTATAAGAAGAAAATCATTTACAACTGCAGATGAGATCTCATCAAGTTTCATAGTTGAGAGCAACTTCCACACATCAGGTGTAATTTCTTTGGAGAATGGTGACTCTGAAAGAGCAGTTTCAATTAAGACTTTTGCCCTGCCGTCCTTTGTAGAGTACGGCGTTGTCCTAGAAGGACATCTGGATACGTGCCTCCACAAAGCATTACGTAAATACATGCATTTACAATGAATACAGTGCACATGGGTTTTAGAAGTGGTCGCACTGGTGGTAGGTCGTCTTTTCAGTTTTAACTCTCCACTGTTGTCCTTTAACACCCCTTGGTTATGTTGGTAATTTCCCCTGTTACGAAATTCACTAAATAACTCTTTTCGTTTCTTGGAAGTCTTCGGTAATGACTTCGCTTCAGCGATTTCAGGAACTTCCTTAGCATGCTTTAAGAGATGGCGAGAAATTTTAGTATGACCTTTACCGCAGACATAACAATAGTTTTTATTGGGACTAGAACATCTTTTGGGTTTTGGTTTAGCCTTCCTGGATTTGGAGTCTCCATTCCAGTCGAGTTCCTCAGGGTTGAAAGCAGAGTTGTCTTCCTGCTGGCTGCAAGAAGCATTATCTGGTTGCAGCATAGAGGTCCCCATCATCTCCTGAGAAGAGTCTAGATCTGCAAAAGCTGAATTGTCCATGAAATCCAGCTGGTGGTTCATATTGGTAAAACTGTCACTGCCAGGACTTGTTCGACTGTCAGGAAGTTCAAAGTCATCATCATCAGAGCTGGAATTGTCCGAGCTTGAAGCTGACGAGTCCTCATTCTGAAAATAGAGTACAAGCAAGGCATTTTATATAAACAATAGATAACTTGCATAAGCACACACTCGTATACACAAACACACATGGAAAAATATGTAATCTACTGCTTTGCCACTAGAAAACAAAAAGCCCAAAGTTTATTTCTGACAGTAAGTTTCAGATGTAAATAATAAAGTAGTACAGTATTATTTGTAGATAGTCTTTTATATACCCTTTCATTCCTTGGTGTTGATGTAGTAGCGTGAATGCCTGAGTAGGAAGTACTCGATCCATCATAGGACGCCTGTATAGGTTAAATGCCATAGAAAAGTTATGTGGACATTTGACACATGGATTACCTGGAGTGGAGTCATTGTCTACTGCCTGAATTAATACAAACCAGGTGTTGGCAAGATGCGTGGAGGCCCTACGTCAAATGAAATGCCTGTACCAAATGTATTTTTTTTATATTCAAAGCTTCTAGGGAAGTTTCGAATGAAGCTTTGAATATCTGCATATTGTGATGCGATTAACCTTAAAAAAGGTTTTTTTAAATCCTCGAATAATAGAAAGTGCTTCCTTGGACAAAATTAGTACGTCTGTTTTAATAAAATGAAGCTTATCTTATGGATATATGAAGTGAAAGAGTTTGAAAGGCTAAACACCAACTAATATGGTTTCGAAGCATAATATTTCCTTTGATAAAAAGATTGTTAGAATAGAATCGGAGGGATGAAATCGGAGGGATGAAACCCCTCTTTAATGGTCACACATGCAGAGCACACAGCACACACAGTGACATTTGGCCTCTGCATTTAACCCATCCTAGTACCAGGAGTCTAGTACTAGGAGCCAACACAGTCTCACGGCATTTCGTGTTATAGTCACGAAATTAATCTATTGATTCGTGTTCACCAACACGATTTCGCCATTTTTTTCGTGTCACACAGAACGATTTTAAAAGCAATGTAAATAATAACAAATTAGAAGGAAAAAGACATTTAAAAAAATACAGATTTAAGTATTCTGACACAGAACGATTTTAGAAGCAATGTATTTATATTGGTAGTATGTTTCGTGCCTGCACCAAATAATAACAAATTAGAAGGAAAAAAAGATGACATAAAATACAGATTTCAGTATTCTGAGGCTCTGAGCCCCATTTCTTTTCCTCACTGACGGCACAAAAACTCAGACATTATACAATTTAAAATAAAAGGGATAGGGTTAGGCTTAGGGTAAGATATTGAGTAAGAACATGTTTTTATGAACCACACAGCTTCTGGTCTTCCAAGACCCGACCGGACAAAAAGACGTGTTGCAGGCACGAAACATACTACCAATAGAAATACATTGCTTTTAAAATCGTTCTGTGTGACACGAAAAAAAAAGGTGAAAATCGTGTTGGTGAACACGAATCAATAGATTAAATTAATTTCGTGACTAATAACACGAAATGCCGTGAGACTGGGTTGTAGGAGCAGTGGGCAGCTATTGTACAGCGCCTGGGGAGCAATGGGAGTGGGGGGGAAGGGGGTTGTCCGGTGCCTTGCTCAAGGGCACTACGGCAGGGCCCAGGAGGTGAACTGGGACCTCTCCAAGTAGCAGTCCACACTCAGGTCTGTTCGGGGACCCTATGGCTCACAGTCCAAGCCCCTACTGACTGAGCCACTGCCGGTTAGGAATTTAGAAAAATATGACATCCATCTTTCTTTAAAGGTTTCCTATCATGCTATTTTTAGGCATATATTATGGGTCTCAGATATATAAAAAAATATAAAAAACATGTCTATGATGTGTTTTGTTCAAAATAACAAACAGATCACCCATTCTAGCCATGCCTCATACCCCTCTGTTTCAGCCCTGTTAGAGAAGGGCTGATTTTGGGTCCTTAGCTTAAAAAAAAACACATCAAGGATTATTTCTGAAACAGTATGGAACTCAAATTAGGGCTGCACAATATTGGAAAAAACTGACATTGCGATATTTTCTTCCCCTGCGATATATATTGCGATATGAAAAAATACAGGAATTGAAGAAAAGACCGTTTTTTTTGTCCGCAAATCATCCTTTCTTGAACTTTAATGTTATACAATTGGTATTTTTTTAACAATATTTAACCGGATGAAGGATTTTAGTCACGGACTTCTGGATCTTAAAGGTGGGGTAGGTAATTTTGGAGAAACCAGCTCGAGTGCGCTAGAATTTGAAAATACATAACCGGAAGAAATCTGCCACTTCCTTACAGAGCCCCTCCTCCAACACACATGAACGCGCACATGACCAATGAGGGCACGAGATAAGTCTGTGCACAGATGGAAGGCTGACAGGCAGGTAGGCCATCCAGTTATTTTAGCCGGGCCGGCTAAAATGATTGGTCGTGCTTTTTACAGCGCCACGGCTTCCACAGATGACATTTTTTAATGTATTTATTGTCAAAGCATTTCATATATTCATTGCTATCGGGATGTTAAGAGCATTCCATGGAATATAACATATATTCTGAAATAAATTACATACCCCACCTTTAAAGGGGACCTATCATGCAAAATGCACTTTTGTACGTCTTTTATACATGAATATGTGTCCCCGGTGTTCCAGGGAACTCACCAAGTGTCAGAAAACACAACCCTCTCCATTTTCCTCCATACCCAAATCTCTAGAAAAGGGGCTGCAACGGATCTGATACAGACTGATCCAGATTTGAACACTTCTATGTCGTCACAGAAGTGGCGCTACAGCTATTGGGCCAACTCTCCACCTATCAGGGGAATGTGGGGTTGGGCCACGGCCGGCCATTGCCGCTCGAAAGCGCTGGAAACGCTGTAGTACATATGCCAGGCCTGTAAGTGGCGCTGTAGTCTGCCACAAAAGCAGCGAAGAAGACTTCCCTCCCATAGTTACCCTTCTGTTTATTCTCCGTTGTGGCTTTTTTTCTCCCTCCCCGAGGCAAGCGTTTGCTCCCGCTGCTTTAATTCAATGCAATCCCTCCCCGTCGAGACAAGCACTGTAATTCTCTCCGGTTAGTCCACCAGCAGATGACAAACACCCACCTCTCCGCCCCTTCCAAGGAACGAGGGGACCGTGCGGCAGAGTTTCAGTTTCAGTTTCTTTCGCCGGTCAAGATGTCCGTTAAAGTTTAAATCTTCCGGACAAAATTAGAAAAGTGCCGGTCAAAGGTCTTCTTTGTTATTTATTGAGCTTTAAAACAAATGAATAACGACTCTATTGTAGTGATCACTGATTCATACATTGGGTTACATAATCCAATCATGGAACTACAGGTTCGGGGTACTGTTTCCACACGGACATATATGTTGTTGGTACTTACTGCGTGCCCTACCTTTTGCTTTCTCTTCTCTTCCCGGGCTGCGACCCGACAACATGTCCGCTTCTGCTGCTCATTAAAGTTCCCATTTGCACCTTCGATGCACCGCCTCCGACTCCTATCTCTCGGCACTACACTATATAATAAAACACGGAGGACGGAGATCTCTTTTTCTCCCCCTCTTCTGACAGCCCAGCAGCTGATCAGAGCACGTCTCACCTCTCCTGCAGGGGGGCGTGGTCAGCAGAATCAGACCCGTAGACAGCAAACAGCACATAGAGCGAAATGAGGCATGGCTAAAATGCATGATCTGTTTGGTATTTTGAAAACAGAAACGTATAAATATACCTTATATAAGTATGGCCCTACAATATATCATTTAAATATAGCATGATAGGTCCACTTTAAGTTATCAGAGCAACAAGCTGAGCTAGCTCGGTTATCCTGCTGTGATCTGATCAAGAATGGTTGTGATTGGTGGTTTGCTGTGCATGCAGAGCCTGCATGTCACTCACTCAAGTACCCCTGACATGAGAGCCGCGCGAGTTTTCCTTTTGTAGCAAGCAGCAAAATAATTGTAACACGACGTGTTTGAGTTCATTTGACTACTTAATATCGCACATCCTAAAAAAAGAAATTAAAACGATATATCGTGCAGCCCTAGCTCAAATGCTTTTTCTCTTGCGGGTTTACCGGGGACACATACTTGTGTATAAAAATCATCAAAAAGTGCATTTTGCACAATAGGACACGTTTAATAAACTTTGACTTTGGGACTTTACAACACTGGAAATGTTTGGATCACACAAGATTTCGACAATCCTACAAAGTCACAAATGGAATCTATATCTTCAAAGAGTGTAATACTAATAATATCAGTGTAGCCTTTAAGCCAAATAATGACCGTAGTTGCAACTGAGCACATAAATAAATTGACATAAAACTCAAGCTGTCATCAGAAAATAAAGCTTTTAAATATTTGATAAATTATTTTATGCATTGTTGCATTATTTATACGTTTTTGGTCATTATAGTAATTCTTATCTTCAAATCCGTACTATTTGTCACAGCGACCATTTTATTTTCATATTGGTCTAAAATAATTAACGGCATACCTTTTTGTTAACCAAGACAAACTGAACAGATAATGTATGAGATTGTCTGTATGAGCAGATGTCCCAATTTAAGAAGAGCTGTAGCTGTATAAAATAAAATAAAATACATTGTTAAATGATGATAGTTCCACTGCAGAATGAAACATTTGCATTGCAACCAGTTGCTGGTATTAGATCATAAACAACCTTTAAACTATTTTGTACTTGAAACCAAAATCACTGGTAGTGATTTGTATGACTGTAATTGCAGTGAGTTGCAGTAAATTCGATTTTTGGGAAATTATACTTTCACTTGTGTTTAATATTTGTCTATCCCATTTATGTCAATCAGAGTAGACTCTTCTCGTAAACATTTTCAACAAAATCTTGACGTTATACAACCTTAAAGAAAGGAGGATTGATTGCAAGACTGTTAGACTGAACTAGTTTGAATGTGTCTGTAATTCTTATACAAAGATCAAAAGTCATGCTTGTTCTGTAATACAAACTTACCATTGACCGCCATGGGTAAGACGAGTCCCCATAGTCGTAAGTTATCTCCTCACCTGGAGATATTTCTGTTACAGCAAACAGGCACAAGTGTGGTTTTCCCTCAGAGAAAATGTTCTTCATTTCACAGTTGGGACTTATGTGATCGTCATTCACAAGCCGTCCAAGGGTCCCGTCATCCTTTGAGGCATCAACGCTGCAACAAAAAAAAAAACGTTCTAATGAAACAAGAACATTTGAAATAACTGCACTTAACCATGTTGTTTTCTTAAAAAAACACTTTACATAAGTTAACCATGTCTCTTTCTGACGTAACTTACCACCACTGTGCTCCTTTCCATGAAAACTCAAAGAAATATTTGTTCAGATTATCGCCACATTTCTTCTTACGCGTTGTGTATTTTGGAGAGAAGATGTTCCCCTGATATTCAACCACAAACGCAGATGGTTCAATGGCTCTGCTGGTAAACACTCCTTTCCCTATGAAGCATAGATTAACATGAAAGCATTAGTCTGGTAATGATGAATTTGGATGACCACAATCATTGTTTTATTTTATCAAATATATTTTCACAATGAGACAAAACTTCTCCTGACACCCAAATTACATCTGGAAAAAGGAATGAATGCCTTTTATATAAATCTTGTGGAATGTTTCACTTTGTCTGCCATATATAACTCTAAACTGGGTTATCGTAAATTTACCCAGGACGTCTTACTTTAAATCCTAAAGAACAAATGTACCATACTGAACAATTACAAGTGAGTGTATGTGGACATATTTAAGTCAAAAATAGTCTGTGATGACCTGTGGTTTTTCACTCCTAGTGAATTTATAAAAACCTCAATTATAATGCACCAATGTTTAGATTTTGCACATCTTTCCTCAAAGGACTTATGTCATTTAAACTCCTTCTAAAACACCAGTTAAGGAGGCTTTGGGTCTGTTAAAAAAGGAGTGACTGCTATCAGAATTGTACCTCTTACCTTTAAAGGAGTTGATAAACTTTTCCTCCAGGAAGGGTTTGTCTCTACAGGCAACTATGTACTCCAGGGCATCTTGCTCTGGAGTCAGTTGGCGTCTTTGCTTCTCCATGACAGCTAGGAAAATGTCCCAATATAAAGATATTAGGTTTGGGATTATATGAGATCTGAGCATACTGTTATCCATAAATATATAGCAGGAAAAAAAATTGGTTTTAGCAAATTATTACTTCAACCACTTACTGTTCTACAAATACAACACTGCAACTCTTAATGTTAATCTTGTTAAGCATTGTTTCACACTGTTAAGATATGAGTCTATTTCTGTGTGTGTGCAATTCACAAGGAGTCAAATTCCTGTGTACATATAGGTAGAGATAGATGGTGATTTGGGAAACTTGAACATGATAGTAACCATTCTATTGTCAGTTTAGAGGAGTGAAATATTACCATTTCCTCTGAATCAAATAAATAAAAAAACATAAGGCAGTCTGTAAAGTAACTTCAAATATTTACATACATGTGTACATAAAAAGCTAGAAACATATTATTAAACTATGACCAAAGAAAATATACTGGCTACCTCGCAAAGTGTTGTGTTCATTTCTGTATAATTGCATTTTATTAAACCAGTTTTGTTTAAATGTATAAAGTTGGATCTGACTGTGGTTTGTTTTCTACCTTGCACATGTCTTGCTAGCATGCTAACACTAGCAAGTGGAGAGTAGGCCAGTATTGGTTTTCCAACACATTGCCCACTGCTTTTGACCCAAATAGATGTAGTTTCAGTAAATATATTTTTAAACACGTTTACCTTTCTTTCAATATCCCACAGTAAAAACAAAAAGGGCTAAAGGTGTATCTAACACAGTGGCAGCCATCTTCCCTCTGTCGTCTTTTTCCCGAGACCACGTGACGATGAAGCGACGACATCTACGGCGAGCAGCAGCAACTCCGACCAATCACTGACTGTAACGTCACAGGATGACTCTAAAAGCAGCCAATGAGCGGACGTGGATGTATCCACCACCGTGAGGACATACAAACACAATATATTACAGGCGTGTGTGGTTTATGAGGACCCAAGGAAACAAAACATGTTGTAGCATTTACTGTTCCTACATTGAAGAAAACAAACATTAGGAAACGCATACAACAATTCAACAACTTCCACCCCGGTAACTGTTTTCACATAAAACAACTACATTTGAAAGGATTTTATTCAAAAACAACATAGAATAGAAAATGTCAAGAACATTGGCAGCCATACTTTAAGGAATGGGGGTTAATATAACCAAGATATACATGACAGAACAGTATTTTTTTTATAACGCCAGGGACTCAAGGTTATGTAACAAGTCCATGTATGAGAGGACAGTACTGAAAACAGTAGGCCCTATGTCCAAAATGCAGTCATCAACACTCACTTCAATGCGTTCAGTCAACAAAAGGTAACTTAGTGAAATGTTCCAGTGGTGTGAGTCTTTTCAAACATGATACATTGCTTTAAAAAAATGTTTTCAAATACACTGAAATTAATTCCTAAAATTGGTTAATTTGTCTGCGAGTGAGGCAAGACGAAATGTAAAAAACTATTTGAATCTTTCAGTGAAACTTCTTTTCTTTTGTTGAAGTTCAGTTTCTAACATTTTACCAAGAGCAAATTGGAGAAGCCTGTTGAATCATTTAAACCAGCAGATATAATGGAAGAATGCACAATCACGGCACATTTTGGTAGTATTTACATTATGAATTCCTATGAATTCTATGAATTATTTTGTTATGAAGTGTGCTTCCTACATTTTCATAAATGACATTCAACCCTTAGGGTTTAACAATTGCGCCGCTCTTTGACTGACACAAAATCATAGTATCGATGCATTGTTAAAACTCAAGTATGTAAATGTTGGTCGCCAATTTACATCTACATCACAGTTAGCCGTTTGTCTTCTGGACATTTACTCACTGATAACCTAAACCAAAATTGGGAAGCTACCATCTAGCAGATAAAATACAGTATAGCTTTGTGTCCAATTGAGCAAGTAGTTGATAGTCCGAATTCTTAGTTGAGTCTTCCATCTCAGTTCCAAAACAAGGAATATCACTTGAATTGCAGTTCTGAAAATGGTACTTATGCTCCATAGGGATTATTCTGTCCATTTCTGTTTATTAGGTCATATTCAAATGATCTAATCTCTTTATTTACAATATTTTCACAACAAGTTGATGCACCAATAAAAAGGTATCTTCCCGCATCACTTTCACTCTGAATCCCCCTCTTCTTCCTCGCCAGGTATGTATGGTAGATCATCGGGTTTCTTCTGCTTTATCCCTCCATCTTTCTTCCTCCTGACATGCAGCTCTCTGACAGTGAGGATGCGAATGAGCATGTTTTCCTTTGTGCTGTCGTCCAGTGGGCTGGAGGAGAACCACAGGGGGCTGTTGGGGACGCAGCAGCGCTCAGGCTGAAGGAAGAACAGGTTGGTGCGCTGTTTGACCGACTCCGAGCTGGATGGAAGACAATTGTAAAATATCAACATGGTGAACAGCATTTTTTCACTTCTTTCAAGTTCCTATACAAACAATAGGCAGGTGCCCATTTTATAATTGAAACAGGCTGCTGTAAGTAGTTTGGTAACGGAATATACCCACCACTTGGAGAGGTAAAACTCGTAAAGTCTGACTGGACAGCGGAGAGGGTTCTCTGTGTTCTCCATCATCTCCAGGATATCCTCTTTACTCTCCTCCTCCTTACGCCTCTTAGCTGGAACCTCTGGATCTTGAGAGGACACAAACACAGTTCAAACTTTTTCAATATTTATACATCCAAAGTTGGATTTAACACGTACCTGCTGGTTAAAAATACTATTAATAAATACATTTAGAATAACAGTAAGATGTTTACAGTTATGTGAATCTACAGCCATTCAACTTGCACTATATAACTAAACTAACAATAGACACAGATTAACTTTTGAAATAAAACGTCCATGTATTTTTACAAAAGATAATACTGTCTGCAGTGTTTAAAAAAAATGTTTACAGGATGAAAAACTCTGTAAAAAAAAAAGACTAATTATACAATGCAGTATTTGACTGCAAAATAATGGCTTGACTTTCTCAAAGACTTCTTAAAACACCAAATTTGTGATAGTTAAGTTAAGATTTAGGAAGACTTTTGAGGTGTTTTCAAATATGTTTTAAATACATAGTGGAATGGAACAAACAGGTATTTATTTTAACCCTAGGCCATTCTGGTACCTGGCTCTGCCTCTGCCTCGTTTATGGATATTGGGGGGTAGAAGCGCAGGAAGGTGTTCTTGCTGTTGTCATGGTTGGTTTTGGTGCAGCGCATGACGTGGGCGAAGGACAGCTGGCGGTGCTGCTCCACCGTAGTGAAGCCAAAGTACTTGCAGCAGAAGAAGAGCAGAGTGTTGAGGAGGACGATGGGGGAGTACGCCCCCAGCTGTTTACATTCCCAGAGAAACTCCTCCTCTACACGGGAATGGATATAACCTGTAGAGAGGGAGGAGGGCTGTCAGAAGTCTGATCACATGTTTGTGTCAAACCAGGAAAAACGGAAATATTGACAGAAATTGAAAGAACATGAATAACTCACCACTTGCTGTGATTGAAGGTTTAAAATGTCTAAGATTAGTAGTGAACTCTGTGGCGAACTTGTTGTAGAACCGATCCATGAAGATGTTCTCCACACGACCGTTTGTAAACAGATGCTGAGGAGAGAGGAACGGTTCCAGGGTCACAATGAGCACAATGAGAATAGTCAAGCAAGCGTCAATATCATTTCATTGAATGAGGAGAATATATGTACGAATATTACCTTTCTTGACTTTTTGTGATTTTATTTAGTTTCATTATTAGATTAAAAACCTACGAGAACGAAATCAGAGCTGGAACACAAGTGCTTTTATTGTGAAGAAGTAAAAATAAATTATTTAAGCTTTGTTACCATTAGAAAAAAATGTGTATAATAAACCCTCATCAACTAGACACATTCTGAGCTGTTTGGTCAAATTTTTCCATGAGTGTCCTATGACTTGCCTGCTGAATGCCGAGGCAGAGGTAGAAGAGGCTGTCGGCGGAGTACGGCTCTCCATTGGGTCGTTTCACCTCACTGATGAAAGAACAAAGACCGTAGCTCAGCTCAGCCGTGGTGCAGCTGAGAACATCCTCCTTCAACTCTATCGGGCGAGCTGAAATCAAGATATAAGCAGTCAACAATGAACAAAGTTTAAAAAGATATTAACAAAAAAACATGGGCAAAAAGATAGTATATAAGAGAGTATGTCACAGTGAAAACAATCACCAATCACCTGAAATATGAAATATGTGGCGTCAAAGAGAGGGGCTTTAAATCAAAGGCTTTCAAATAGCTGTTAATAGGCGCTTTCACACCGCAGTACTTTTCCCACAAAGGTTCATCAGAACTTAGTTCATGAGAACTCTTTAGTTCTCATGAACTAAGTACAGATCGCGTTCACACCGGAATAAGTCCCTGAGGGAGGATTAGGCAAATGAAGCCGCTGACGTCACTTCTTCTTCTTCTTCTTCTTCTTCTGCTTTGGGTTTACTGGCAGGCCGCAAACAACTTCACGGCGTATCCTGTCACCCGAAGTCCCCGGCCGGAAGTCCCCGGAGTTGGGGACTGGCTTCAGTAGAAGCTGCTGGGACTCCCAGCAGCTTCTACTGAAGCCTTCCGAGTAAATCGCCAGAACGCCGACACCTCCTCATCTCCACCGCTCCCATGTTTTCTTTTGTGTTGCCATAAGTTAGTCTCTCTGCGTTTGTGCGCTGGGCGAATGCTAATGCTAATGCTAATAATGCTAATGCGAGGATAATAAAATGGCGGCTTCACAAACTTTTTGGGAGTTTTACGGGGCGTGGTTTGCATTCCGCCCAGCCAATCAGACATAGGAACCTTTTTCTCCCACGAAAGTCCCTGCTCTCTAGCAGGGACTGAAAAGGGGGTAAAAAGGTTCTGATGAACTAATTTTAGTTCTGGATTTTTTTGGTGTGAACGCAACATTTCGGGACTAAAGTGGGAAAAGTACTGCGGTGTGAACGCACCTATTGACTTGAGGCCTCGAAAATGTGTTTAACTTAAAATGGATAGTTAATCAAGATTACAAATGTTATGTCCTGTGAGTTAGCTCAGTAACAGACAATTATTTTAATGTATTTATCTGCACTAGTTTGACAATTAATCGTTTGGTCTATAAAATGCCAGAAAAAAGTGGAAGATGTCCATCACAGATTCTCAAACCCAAAGGTGTCTTTAAATTACTTTTAAGACATTTGGTCAGTCAAAAAAAAAAAGCAGGAAATCCTTATATTTAGCAGAATTAAAAAAATCATTTTCTGCTTTGTTAGCATGTCAAAAAACTTTTGAAATTCTCACAGACAACAACCATCAAGGTTTTTTGTTGTTGTGGCTCAGTCAATTGGATTTTCCCTCTTGGCATTTGAGTGTTCCAAAAATAATATTGTTCACTCGATGGAAACACTAGTGCATTATCAGGTTAAGTAAAATAACTATCAGTCTCGGCTTTAGTGGTTGTATTTACTTTACTTCCAGACTTACAACCAAAGCGTGGTTTCTCCATGTTGGGTTGAGCTGGCCTCTTCTGGATCCATCGCTTCCAGGCTTCAACTCCATATTCACTCTGCAGTTTTGGGACCTCTACTGCCTCGGCCTTTTGAGTCGACACTTCAGCTGTCTTAGACGAGCGCTTTGGCTTACGACCCTTAGACAAAATGGAGACATAGAAGAGATTGACTCCAATAAATAAATACAATGAGGGTGAGACAACAAGCCATATAGTAGGTATTCCCAGTGTCTAACTACACATTTAAGTACAATCCCATCTTGTCTTAAATGCACAAGCAGCCTCCTTTCTGTTTCCCCAGGCACCTACCCTTTTTTCTCTGGCTTTCCTGTGAGCTTGTCGTCGCCTTGGAGTAGCAGGCGGAGGGCTCGGGGTGCGCCTGGACTCGTCTCTTAAACGGGCAATTTTCTCCAACATTTCTGGGAATAAAACCAAATGAAACTTTAGACATGCCCACCAAACGATGTGTTTTCCCAAGCACTTCAACTACCCTCTGTAAACACAGGACAAGGGGGAGATCAAATTAAAATGTTGTCGCATGCCATAAATGTGCAAACCTCACCGACAGTGAAGTCTGCTTCGATGTCCAAGGCAGGGTTGGGCTCGGGGAAAGGCTCATTGGTCAGGCCCAGGGGAATGCCTATAACGGGGTTGAGCTTCTCGTGAGCGTGCGGCCGACTGGGAGACCTGACAGCTGGATCAGAGGAGGCTTCCTCCCAGTTATTGAGAAAACTTGCCAAGTCTTCTGTGTCTAAGTCATCACTGTAGTTACTGGCGTGATCTGTGAAATAAACATGAGAGGAACTCTTCATATAGTGTGACACATGATATTTATCAAACTAAAAGGGAAATAATTTTATGCGACAGGTAATGGATACACATTTATCTCGAATTTCATTATCTTTGAGAGTCACGCAATTCTTTCCTTTTCCGTACACTGGAATAATATCCTGAAAAATTGCCAGTTTACTGATTTTTAAAATCAAAAGTCAAGTCAAAGTCAAAGAGATCGAAATGACGTTTCCAACAATCCCGAATGTAAAATTATACAGTTATGTGTAAAAATATGTATAAAATATGTATATCCTATATACACAATCAACCGACACATTTACACATATGCACACATTAAGATAAATAAAAAAAACACGACAATCAATATATACAAAATAACAGTCACTTCAATATCAATATCTTTGGTGCAAGATTGTCCATAAAATGTGCATTTATTGCAGATTGTCCATAGCAGCGTAAAAAAAGTGTCTTTTGCTCTTGTGCTCCTACTAAAGTATTTTTAGATATCTCCAGAGTATTAACCCCCAAGTTTTTACCCCACTACATTTGATCTTGAAGCTGTAGTTATTCTGTAGATTAAGATGTTATATACAAAAAAAAGATGCAACTCATTCATATTATATATTATTCAATGTCTAAAAAGCAGAGGTGGGGACTCGAGTCACATGACTTGACTCGAGTCAGACTCGACTCGAGTCAGACTCGAGTCGCATATTTTTTTACTTCAGACTTGCTTGACTAACATTGATAAAAGACTTGGCTTGACTTTGACTTGGTATTCATGACTTGAGACTTGACTTAAGCTTGAGACAGATGACTTGAAAGGACTTGACTTTTTAAAATTAAATATTTGCGTTTGTTTTTGTAGTGATATATTACGTTTAGTTTTTTCGAAAAACGTGATTGGGTGATTATAGAGCCATGCGCGCAAACCTGGCAACCCACTAGACGGCAGGAGTGTCAGTTAACATGGCAGCGGCTAGCGTTACTCCAAAAATAGTGAAGTTTGGATTCAAGGATTATGTTGTCGATGACGCTAATAAGAAGAGAACAGCGGTATGCAGGGTCTGCAGCATAAAGATCAGTGACACGACCACCACAACATCCAACTTCATTCGTCACTACAAAAAAAAACACAGAGAAAGGTGCGTGAATGTGTTGTGTTAGCTAGAAAGCTAACGTTAAGTTTAAGCTACGTTAGACTTGGTTTAAAATTGATTAAGCATTGCAAAGAGAAGACAAAACGGTAAATGAACACTAGAACCGCCAAGGGATTGATTTGTACTAACCCCGATACTGACGGGCTGTCAGGAGAGGGAGAGAGAGAGGGAAAGAGATGCCTCGTTTATTTCCCCTGTGTTATTCTCAGAAGTTAATGTACACTTTTGAATAATGTAGTTCATCTACTTTTAGTAGTTTGTTTAAATGTTTTAATTATGTTGTTTTTGTTTGTAGAAGTGCATCATTCCTTGATTTATTGTAAAATGAATCTGAACTTTTTGATCTGTTATGATGATAAACTGAAGCAATTTCTAAATGAACCCAATTAACTGAGTTTTAAATCGTCCTACTTAGTTCATAAGGAAATTATGAAGAGGAACAAATTAAATGATTTGAAAGTGATATCTATGTAGGTGCTGACGCTGTTGGCGGTTCTAGTGTTAACAGACATTTAAATTAAATATGTGTAATGGCAAATGCCATATATGATTTTCTTACCTGGAATTCTGCCTTTAACAGACTTTTTGATTGAGTCCTAGCTATATTGTCTGCAGTTCTAGGGTTAATATGAATCTAATATGATTGTCATCGGTCTAAATTAGATTTCAAATGATTAACTGTGTATGTAATGAAGATCATAGTGTGGGTTAAATCCATTTTCATAACCACTGTCTTTTAACGGATTTAAATGCGGAAACTGGGCTTATTCATCAGAATTTCGTATGACTTGACTTGACTTGCTTGACCTGAGCAATGACTTGACTTGACTTGCTTGACTCTCACCACAGTGACTTGGGACTTGCTTGATACTTGTAGGTCAAGACTTGAGACTTGCTCATGACTTGCACATGTAGGACTTACTCCCACCTCTGCTAAAAAGTGACTTTACCCTTGTCTAGATTGATTATCCGAGTTCCCTAATGCCATTCTTTCTTTTCATGTTTCCTACTAAACTAAAACCTCAAAATGTTCTCTCTTACCATCTGGAGCAGTTACTTGTTTTCTGTCTTTTCCCGCCACCTTCTCCTTTGGTCTCTCCTCCTTGTTGCTGTTCTCATGTTGTTCTGCCACCATCTCGGCCATGAGGATGAGCTCTGCCTCGAAGGGGTCGGACGGGATCTTTTGCTTTATCTCCTGGATGGTTTCTAAGATGCGTTCAGCGCTGTCCAATGTCACAGGCAGGAACATGGGTACCGGCACCTAGGGTAGGCAGGAAGGAAGTAACAGAGTGTGAGGGGCTGTAAGGAGGATGGCTTACACCTACTTTTGAATAATTATTTTAAATGAATTTGACATACTGGTAATGGCAGCCCCACAGGTTGGGGGGTAAACTGGCTGTACATATTCATGGGTACAGGAATATACACCGGCACTGGGACGGGAACGATCAGGATTTTAGGAAAGATGTCGTCTGTAGAGAGGGGGAAAATAAAGACAATGTCAGAGTTGTAAAATCAAAATTAGACGGGATAGGTCAATAAAGAAGTTTCGGGCCAGCGCCTTCAAAAGTTGTGATAATCAGGAAATAAGGATTTCATTGTAGGCTATTAAGTACAAAACAACACTGCTTAATATTTGTAGGGGTATGTAAAGACAAAGATGTATAAACCAATACACACACAAACAGAAAATTGAAATGGATAATATGTTTTTTTAAGTTTTAGATTTACCAGTTGGTGCCTTCTGCAGGAGAACAGTCTCTAATTAAGATTTTATTTTTATTAAAATACTGATTTGTATTAAAGTATATGCTTGCAGAGAGTTAAAGCATTTGTAGAAACATTCATAAACAACTTCAAGTTTTCCAACTCAAGGTCTGCTACCGTTATTACGTATTCAGACATGATTATCAAACATTACATACAAAAACCAGCAATGACATTGGTGTATAGTCTATTTGTTTGACTATGGAGCAGAGATGTCGTTACAATAGGAACAACGTTTGGTAGTTACCCGTTTGTGCTTCAACATCGGCTGTCTGCGTCTTACAGGAAATCGCTTTGTTCTGCACCAGCGGTCTGCAGAGCACGGCCTTGTTCTTCAGGATTTTTGGGCGGGAAGGAGAAGGAACGTTCACTGTATCCGTCTGAACACTAAACTGAAGGAGGAAGTACATAAATAGTAACAACTCCAGAATAAAAATACTTCAAAATACATATAAGATACAACAACTTACATTTCCAAAGCTCTTGGGATGACAGGATGTGCCTGTTGAGACAATGACAGAGTAAGAAACCATCACATTCAAATAATCGAATGAGGAAATAGCATGTTTCTTTCTTATAGGTTTGAATATAGTTCATAAATACCTGTGTTTGTGTGTTGTGTACTTGTCTGGACAGTTCTGTTGGAAGCGTTTGATTTCTCTGTTGGAGGTCCTGCAAGTGAGATGACACTGGCGATGACGGGTGTGGCCTCCGCTGTACCTGAAGTAGGAAAACACCAGTGGGATATATAGCTAATACAATTCATAACATTTTTATTCATTTGCGCATGCTTTTATTTTTATTTTTTCAAATTCCAATCCTATAAAAAGTATTGTTATTGTGTAGCCAAAATACAGAACAAAAATTTGCCAAATTAAACCTACTAAAACTACTATTTTTGACAGCTAAAACAGCATAAAAAACACGCATTCAATTTTAACAGGTTTTAAATCTAGAATATGGTTTCAAAGTTGTAGTTTTGACTATTTTCCACCAGCTGAAAATAGTTTATAATGGGCGCCAAATAGATTCAAATGTTTTGGTTGCCCAATTAAAAAATGAAAATGCAGAACCATCAATGTTACTAAACATTGACAGACTGCGACATAGGATTTAGTACACAGAAAATAATTAAAATTCATCATTATTCAATTAAAATAAAAAAGAATAAAATGTTTTAATTGTGTCAGGAATAATTGATGTAATAATTACTGTAACCTTTTTCTTTTTTACGTGGGCATTTTTTCCTCTAAGGACATCAGATCAATATTTTTTTTCAAATGAGGGGACAATACTGTATGTTAAAAAAACATTATTAGAGGAAAATAAATTGAGCGGCAAAAATAATTCCACACCTTTGACGATTTCTCCCTGCGTGGCCACTTTATCGCAGCAGAACTGCAGCTGACAGGTCAGATCACAGAAGTGTTTGACCTCTCCCAGCATGGGAAGACTCTGCTTCAGTTTCCCTTTGCGGCCGCAGGTGTCACACTTTGCAACCTGAGAGAGAAACAGTGAATAAACATTTAGATCCATTTTTTTTTTCTTCCACCTATGATTTTAAAAGCTGCATTGCTTACGTGGCAGAAGAGCATGGTGTATTTGGAGCGGCACTCGTCAGAGCAGAACTCCTCGGTGGAGCCTCCGTACTGAGCCGTCACCAGCTCCTTGGACACACTGTAGCAGTAGGCGCAGGAGTTACAGTGCTTCCCCCAGCTTTTAGTCTGGTCGTGTCTGAAGAGGAGCTTACATCCTGGGAGGAAGGAGAAGGGAGGCTTTATCACATCAAGTGTGTTCTTTAAACATATACAACACAACTTGTACATAATTATATTCTTTGAATGTGTTTTTTATTGTCATCAGGAAATTAAATTAGCCAAATACTATTATAATATTTTTGACTGTAGAATGTAAAAGAAAATTGTCATATACATATATATAAAAAAAGCTTCTCCCCAGTTTAAGTTTCCTGAAAGATTCCATATTGTTGCTGTCTGGTGCCACTGTGTCAGTGTTTACAATTCTAGAGTTTAATCTTAGTATGTAAAAAAATCGTTTCAGACAGTTATTGCAATTTTTAGTATGTATATATTTCCATCTGTCTGGTTACCGTCGCTGCAGAAGTAGCAGTCTCTGTTGTCTATCCTCTTAGCGTCTCTGGTGATCTTTTCGATCTTACAGTATTCACACAGGCTCGTCACGTTGTTGTCTTTCTTGAACTCGTGAGCACAATCAATGCTGCACACGAAAACCATTTGGTCCTGCACACACAGAGGTATTAACATTAGGCATGTCAGTATGTACATCAAGTTCTCAACTGTCAAGGATAAGATACAAAAATTAACTTTTTTCAAATTCTTCAGGATTATGATGTATGGTTTATCCAACATTGCAATCTTTACAACACCACACTTTCTGTGTATTTTACAGGCAGTGTAAGACCTGTTCAAATTATCGGTTTTAGCAAAAAGGAATCCCAAGAGGGATTGGGCCTATTTACAAGAAAACAACATACTTGGAATTCAATTAAATCTACAGATGTGGGATTTGTCCATGATTAATACTGTTACACCTTCTCACTAACGTGTTGCATTTCCTGTTTACCGCCAGCTTCTGTGGTGTGATGAGATTCATCCAACCTTCAAAGTGGAGAAATGTGGTTCCTTGACAAAAAAAACCTTGTTACCTTGATCTGGATGACTTCAGGTAGAGATTGTATGTTGCGGGCACACTGGAAGCAGTTCAGTTTCAGTGGTGCTTTGGGGATTTCTTGCTGATTTTGGGCGGAGGTGATCTGGATTTGGGGTGATCCGACAGGCAACTTGGTAAAAATATTCACCTGTGTCTGGGACTTCTTGAACCTTTCCTATGGCACAGAAAACAATAAACAAGAGTGAAAATTCATTCATGTAGAGTTTCTAGGCAGAGTAATTAATGAGCAAAACAGCAAACTACACATTTTCAACAAAGGATAAGAATTGTATGTAGTGATAATAACCATTAGTTGTGTGGATATATTGGCTAAGTGCGTATATGCAAATAATTGAACCGCAAGAACAAGAATATTCAGAAAATGACATCTCTTTGCTGTTACAGTATACAGCCTTGAAAACCCGGAAAATAACCTTGTTATATAACAACATCAGAAATCCAAGACGATATCTTACCTTATGTGTCTAATATCACAATATCGATACAATATTGATATATTGCCCTGCTCTAAATTTGTATTTACTATGTAAACAATAATCAAGAGTGTGATTTAATAAGTAAACCTCATTACCTGAAAAGCCATGACACAAGGCAGAGTGCAGAAGTTCCTGATGGAGGTATCTGACATGGCCAGGTGGTAGGCGGGGACTGTGTTTTTCCCACAATTATCACAACTCACCCGAGCACCTACAAAAAAAGAGAAGGAAAGAGTATTACAAATATTTTAAAACATCAAAGCAGCCAAGAGCGAGGTAGTAAATCTGTCTTGTAAACTTCTTGTACCTGATGCACTGACGGACTGGACCTTGAAAGCCATCACACAGCTGCTGCTGCAGTACAGGCTCACTGAGTTGTCACTGTTCTTGTTGTGAATCATTTCTCCCATCGGCCGGGTAGTGTTACACATCACGCAGGGCTGGTTGGTCTTAGTGTTCTGTTATGAAATGACAAGACAGACATTTGAGGACTTTTAACAATCTTTTGCTTTGTGTTAAGTACATGTTTAAATCTGCGTGTCCAGGCCACAACTTTGATGCTCACACTGTACGGATCAGACCATCTGTAGCTCATACTGAACATAAGCACAGACTGTCTTGTTTTGTCCAGTGACTCTTCTAATAAAGGTTATTGCATAATATTCTATTATACAGAAAAATATATTAAAATGTTTTAATGAAGCCAGCATTACTTTCAGCAATTCACTATTGACGGTAACAAGAATTCAAGAAAAACATGGAGCCCCGGGTGTTGTTCTAATATAGTTGGGTAAGTAAATGTGCTCTATTGTTTAGAGGGTCTCTATATATTTGGCACACTTTAGCCATGCTGTAATATTTAAATGTGTTGTTTATCTCATAACGAGGGTTTCTGGAATTCACCTCTTGCAAGTAGTGAAAGAACCACATTTGTTTATAACTACAAAATCTGCTAAATAAAAGTAGTAAATGTGTCACTTAGTTAATGTATGTAGCCTTAGTACGCTAAGCAAACTGTAGCGTGATTAAGTAAACTGTTTAAATCTGTTCTCACATATTTACACATCAACTTTTTTACCATTTGACACCACAAATGATTAGCAATACATTGTTGAATATTCAGTTTTATGACCTCCTTGCCATATTCTGCACCAGTCTGACCCTGAAAGTCATATTCATACCTCTTTGTACTTGGCCAGACACTCTACATTGCACAAAGTTTTGTGGCTGTCCTTCAGCTTCAGCATGAGCGATTTCTTGAGGCAGTATGAGCCGCAGTTTTCGCAGCCAGCCATGGAAAGTTTGTTGACTTTCCGGAAACGGTTGAAGCAGGCGTCGCTGCAAAGCTTGTGGACAGCACCGCTCAGGATCACCTCATGTTTGCTCTGCAGGAGGGAGGACAAAGTGGATGTTATTTCAGAAAATAATCCTGTCACTACAGAAAGTGTAGGTTACAGGGTCAGCAGTTCTCTGTACTACTTGTGTAACATTAAACAATGCAGGTTTTTTCAAATCTAATTTAATACTGAAGATGCCACATTTTTTTTGTATTTAATACTGAAATTCCAGGATTTTTGTATTGATTTATAACAAAACAGAAAACGCTGGCTGCCAGACCAAGAAAAAAGTTATGGAAAAATTATTTCTTTGCATTTCTTTATCAAATGGGACACAAATAACCACAAACAATTTTTTATTTTTTTACTGACCACAGTTTTATTTTTATGAGCCTCTACCAACTGGTCGAGGTGGCCTTCTATGGTAAAAGTGCATCATATACAGTTCAGTATTTGTATGCATCAAACTCAAATAAAACAAACACATTTTTTTCTTTTATGGAAGATGAACAATACATACAACCAGTATGAGGAATCATGGAAAAAGTGTTTTTCATAATAAAAAAGGACTTGCTCATCTTACTGTATATGCTGAATTGGCCTAACAACAAACAACTGGCCTAACAGCAAATGTCAAAAGTCAAAGTCAAAGTCAGCTTTATTGTCAAGAATTCTACATGTGTTATACATCCAGAAATATCGTTTCCCGCAGTATATATCCTGTGTTGGCCTAACTTGCTCATCTGTGTGCAACAGCACAAATTATATTTTTGGGGCATTAGATTCATTACCATTTTTTGTGGTATACTACAAAGCATTGCTGGCTAGCATTCAAGCACAGAAAAACCATGCATTTCCCACATTTCCATCTGGACACTCCCTTTGGACAGACCTTGCACCGGCCCCGCATCTCACTGTGAAGTGGCCAATGTCCACAGTTGTCATAGCGCACATTTGGTGGTGGTTGTTGAGCTGTCTTGGTGTAGTATTTATTTTGAGACATGGGTGGTGGTGAGGAGGAGGGGGGTCTTCCGACTTTGGCTGGCTTATTGACTTGCTTCAAACTGTGGGCGACCTCCAGGCGAAACCTTTTGAGAGGCATGGGTTTCTTGTTCAGCAGGCCACAGTCCCTCTTGTAGACCAGCCAGGAATTTGAGACAGATAGGTCAAGCATGTATCCGAACAGGGGAAAGTACCATCGCCTTGCCTTGGCTGGGGTCTTGTATAGGTGGACCAACATGTCGGAAAGATCAATCCCGCCCATATGCTCATTATAGGCAGGAATGAGTGAGGGGCATGGGATGGGAATCTTTGCCTTGGCCTCTTGGCTCCACCGCTTGACAGTCGAAACAGGCTCGACCCCACAGGCATTGCTTAGAAGGTTGACGCATTTGTTGTCAAACCATTTGACTGCGACGACCCCTTCAGAAGATCTGTAATCAAAAGCTCCACGCCCTTTCTTCATCAGCTCTTTGTCTGTCATCAAGGGAGCTGTACCGTTGCGGTTTTGTCGGACAGTGCCGATGCACTTGATACCCAGTCCTGAGTGCAGGTTCTGGATCAAGTTGAAACTGGTGAAGTAGTTATCACAGAAGACGATTGAAAGCCGTGGCAGTTCTATGGTTTTGCACAGCGTTGTCACCACTTTGGCCCCTAGAAGTAGCTTCTGCTCCTGCTCACTTAGGGCAACGTTGAAAAACGTGGACGCCCCTTGATAGAGCAGCATGTCATGAATGATCCCAGAGGAACTGGCCCGGCAGAACAGTTTGAAGCCCCACTTGTCTGGCTTGTTGGCGATATACTGGCAGAGATTGCCAGCCCTTGTGCCCTTACATGCCACCATGACCTCATCCACACTCTGCTTGTAGGTGGAAGGGATCTTGAGACACTGCTTACGAAGCATCTCGAAGAGTGGGCGGATTTTGAGGAATCGGTCTGGGCTGTCATTGAACTGCTGATTATCACTAAAATGAATAAACCGGCGTAACTGTTGAAATCTGTTCCTCAACATGATATCAGCAATCAAGTTGAAACGTGACGCTCCGTGCCAGTAGTCTTCCATGGCTGGGAAGTGGAAAACACCCATGAAGAGTAGTATTGCCAGGAAATCTTCTATCTCTTCACAGCTCGTCTTGATCGGGTCTCCCAACTCCTGGGCAGAGTAGAGGTTGGTATGGTGAGTGATATGTTCTATCATCTGGTCAGTGAAGATTGTTTTGAAGTACTGAAAGGGTGTCTTTACTTCATCTGGGGGTTCAAACCTTGAATCAGGAACCTGGAATTGCTCTATGTCTTCCTTCTTCCAGATTCTCTCAGTGCCTTCTTGTGGGCCAGGGATCTCCTCTAGCTCCTCCATGGAAATTACTTTGAGGGTGTTTTTCCCTCTTCTCTTCTTCCGGGGAGGTGGTGCTGAAGATGTGCTTGTGGAGGCTTCCGCATTATCAGATTCAAAAGGACACACTTCTTCGAGAGTGGGCAGATATTCTGGATCATCTATTTCATTATCATCATCACTGAGATTCTCTGCGTCAGAATCTCGGGGATTCTCTGGTATCAGAGCCAGAAGATTACGGGGCTTTGTTCCATAAAAGCGGTTAGCGTCCATCTATCAATTATAAAAACGGAAAGAAAATCGCAATTACAAACCATGTACTATTATAATACTAGAAATATGTTTACCCCTGTCATTACAAACAATAAGATGGAACATTATTGAAAGTTAGATATTGTTCTATAAGGCCTTAGCTATGAATGCACATCAAACAAAAAAAACTATATACAACAAGGTGAGCTCAGTTCAGCTCTTTACTGTAAGTTTAGCTACATTTGTAAAGCACTTTGGGCTGCATTTCATGCATGAAAGGTGCTATATAAATTATTATTACTATTTCACTCTGAAACTCATAAGGCAGTACTAGATTTAGTAATATTACCATGAATCTAGCTATTTATTCACCATATTTGGAAAACATCTCTGAAACTCTGAAAAAGTCATATTGCTAGTTTTACAATAAAAGGCCAATTCGAACGGTTGGTTGAGCATATTTTCAAAAAAATAATTACACCCTTGTTAAAACTTTGTTTGTGCATCAAGTTATCTAATTCTGTATGTGCTCTGACACTAAAATATATCAAATGATATGCTTACCTTACAAAAGTTGACCAAAAAAAGAGTGATTTCTTCAGGAGTGATTTTTAGCATACCAACTTTCTCAGTAGCCGCTTTCACACCGCAGTACTTTTCCCACTTTCGTTCCGATATAGTTCCGAAATGTTGCGTTCACACCAAAAAAATTCGGAACTAAAATGAGTTAATGAGAACCTTTTTACCCCCTTTTCCATCCCTGCTAGAGAGCAGGGACTTTATGGGGCATTTCCACCATGGCGCGGAGCGCGGTTTAAGCGTGCCGTGTCGTGCCGGGCCCGTTTTTGGTTGCGCTTCCACTAGGCCTAGTTCCGGCCTGGGGGTACTTTTTCACCTCTTTTCTGGCCCGACAAAATCGTGGTTCTATCGGGGCCAACAAACAGGGCTGAGTCGGGCTGAGTATGCTAAACTAGAGAGAGAATCGCTGGCAAGGGGGCTACAACTACAACAAGATGAACATATTTGACCGTGATTTAATTGTAATGCACGTTTCAAAATGATGCCGAAGTAACAACATACTGATACCGGTTAGTAAAGACTATGAATTAATGCTTTGACAAGTCTGCAGACAGACGGCAGGTGAACAACCTTTTAAAATGCGTGTTTTCTAGATGGAGATTGGCTAAGCTAACGCAATATATGCTCCGACCGTCCACACTCACAACAACGGCCTTTCCAGACATAAATAAAGCAGCGACTGTACTCGCCATGACAGACAGTCTGTGGTTTGTACTTGTTTAACTTTTGTCTAGTTTCTGAACAGATATGAGGAGCTGTGAGCTTGAGTGCTAACAGCTAACGGCTGTGTTGTTTTTCTGGGGTTCTCATTGAAGATGACGTCACGGCTCCGCCTACACTGCGTTACTATAGTAACTACCCCAGTTCCTAAACTGTAATGGAAGCGCAGCATGAAGTGAGCCGGCCCTAACAAGGCCCAACGTGGCCTAGCAGTACCGAGCGAGGCCGAGGCCGACCGTGTGGTGGAAATGCGGCATAAGTGGGAGAAAAAGGTTCCTATTTCTGATTGGCTGGGCGGATTGCAAACCACGCCCCGTAAAACTCCCAAAAGGTTTTATGAAGCCGCCATTTTATTATCCTCGCATTAGCATTAGCCCAGCGCACAAACGCAGAGAGACTAACTTATGGCAACACAAAAGAAAACATGGGAGCGGTGGAGATGAGGAGATGTCGGCGTTCTGGCGATTTACTCGGAAGGCTTCAGTAGAAGCTGCTGGGAGTCCCAGCAGCTTCTACTGAAGCCAGTCCCCAACTCCGGGGACTTCCGGCCGGGGACTCCGGGTGGCAGTATACGCCGTGAAGTTGTTTGCGGCCTGCCAGTAAACCCAAAGCAGAAGAAGAAGAAGTGACGTCAGCGGCTTCATTTGCCTAATCCTCCCCCAGGGACTTATTCCGGTGTGAACACGATCTGTACTTAGTTAGTGAGAACTAAAGAGTTCTCATGAACTAAGTTCTGATGAACCTTTGTGAGAAAAGTACTGTGGTGTGAATGCGCCTATTGGAAGCTAGCTGAAGGGCATTCTGTTCGAACCACAGTGATATCTAGAGGTTGTTTTGTGCATAACATGTCGACCAAATGGTAGAGATGGCCGAATCAGATGGAGTTAAACTTGTTCAATAAGATATCAAGACACAATATGTGCACTACCAAATGGTGGCGCTGGCTGTTAAAGGGTTAAAGCTGAAATTGCAGGATTCAAAATTGTATTTGTTAGAAATATTTTTTCAAGATTGTTCAATAATCAGATATCAGATGACTTTTGAGGCTTAATGCTGTAAATCAAACAAAGATTGATTTACTCTCTAAAAGTTGCACAATGTTTATAATAACCTTACTTTAAAAATAAAGATTATATCTGGGTTAATTATTATTTGTGAAAATAAGCAGAAAATAAATCAGCAACCTTTTTTTTTCTTACAAAATGTTAAACTGTTTTTTGTAACCTTTTGACCAGCAACAGGGGTTGGACACAAACATCAGCAACCATTTTGATAATACATGAATCATTTCAGTATTCTTTACAAATGTACAAAACAAGACACTTGTTCTTGAACTTTGGGACACTACAATGCTGATTCGTCACTCTTTTTGACCTTTTATAGACCAAACTATTCATATGTTAATCAGGCAAATAAACAACAGATCAATAGATAATTCAAATAATATTGAGTATGAGCACTGTTGTGTTTGACTTACGATGCAGTATCTGCTGCACATGCTGCAGAGTGACGGGGTTAATTTTGGTTGAGATGATTTTTTGATGGCGTCTTGCTTGAAGTTGAAGCTGGTCAGGCAGTTCTGACAGCAGAATTCTTTCACGCTGCCACTAGCATCTGGAGCCAGGATGATGTCCTGAGGCCGAAATATCAACCTGGGTCAAAACAATAAGAGATACACATTCAGTTATAGTTTATTTGGGTCATGATCTTTCACAAAATAAGCACAAGTTTATTTTTAAGATAGGTCTTCCATAACATGTCTTCCATCTCACTAGTGAAAAGAACAAATCCAACAAACGCAATTAGCTTTAGCATTGTCTACTTGTGATTGAAGGTTTCCTCTTCAATTCACCACAATTGAATTAAAGCTTTAGATAATACCTTATTTGCATATTTAAATATGATATTTCAGAAAGCTTGAGAAACAGAAAGTGATTGTCTTACTGTAATTAACAAACTGTGAAAGTTTTAAGGTGATATCAATTGCTAAAACATTTTTACCATGATAACCTGGAGTCCCCTTAATATTAATTGTGTCAAAGTGTCGTTAGTTTTGAAAGAAGTTACTGTTTTCTGTCTAACTCACTTTTGGCAGTCGTGGCAGACCTTAGTGACTCCTTTGGCTGCGGGGAGCGACGTGGTGAGGCAGGAGGTGGAGCAGAAGAGGGCGGGGGAGCCCTTCCTCTGGAAAGCAGTCTGTCCTTTGATCAGGCTCGACTTGCAGTTGGAGCAGGACATGTGCAGGGAGGAGGGGTTGACGACGGGCAGCGATTGAGCTTCAGCAGCTGGGGTCACAGAGAAGACCGATCCGATCCTCAGGTCCTCCTGTCAACAACAGAACAGGAAAAAGGATTCAGTCGTAGTCGGGATTTGACATTTTACTGGGTATTCCATTTGAAAAAGTGGGGGTAATTTTATATACGAGGACTAGAAATGCGCTCACTTTTTTTTGTCTAAAAAAAAAATGTAGAAAGGTTATTTGTTTTATTTTGAGACGTTTAAAATGTACCTGTTAATCAAACTCAACTTTAGCATTTTTAGAGTTGGCACAGGGATCCAAATATCCACACAGGTGATTAAAATCTTAGGGCAAGAGTGTCAGATTATTGCTGTGCTTGTAAGAGGGTTTTTTTTCTCCACCTAATATGGCCATTATGTTACAAGATTAACATTCATAGTAAATAAAACTTGATCAGACAAAGTAAAATTGTTGTTATGACCATTCAGATATGAGACTAAGACATTAAACTGCCATCAGAAGGCTTGTGACCTACCTTTGCAATATTGGGCTCATCTTTCACGTTTGCAGTGGATGTGGAAGATATCAGAGCTTGATCATAATCTTCATCTATGGGCTCATCCTTCACCTTGACCAGAGGTGGTGAGGGAGACGACCTGATTGGCTGGTCAGCAGCATTTTCCTGCAATAGGGGAACACAAAAGAAAATTATTGTTGTTGTTTTAAACATCCATGGTAAAATGACATCCAATGTGTTTCTATGGACTGGTTTTCATATACACATTTAAGTGGATTGTCTTACTTACTCTTACAGTGTCTAATCTTGGTATCGGCAGGTTAACGACTTTTATCCCGTTCACTTCAGTCGCTGGTGAGGATATGTCCCTTCCTACAAGAACATAAGCAACATGTTGATTTGTTAACTATGTGAATACGTTTTCAAATTAAGTAATATAGACAATGCAATAATCCATTTATTGCAACAGTGACACACAAATAAAAGACAAAATCATGAAGTATGTGATTGAACCAAAATCAAAATGAAAACACAACTGGACAGGAGGATGTAAGGAAGCATCAAGATGCTAGTTCTATTTTATTTGTGGAATGCTTATGACCTGTAATTAAGTAACAAGAAAACGTCACTGGTTGGTAAAAGCCTGCAAGTGTGATGAGAATTGTATACGTTAATCATGAATGCACTTAATTTGACCCCAAACCCCATGCTCTGAGGCCCTTTCTCATTTCTCTAATTCCCCTCCTTGACTCCCCTCCTCGACTCCTATCCTCGTGTCTTAGTCCCGCCCACAGGAGATGCGAGCGGAGGAGTCGAGGAGGGGAAGGAGCAGGCGGTTAGAGAAATCATCTCCTCTGAGCGGTCATTTTAAAGAGACGTCCACTAATGATGACAGGAGGCACAGCAGCCCTCTGTCTGATGGACAGAACTGTGTTCATGACGACTTATATATTTACTTTTAATTCATTCACAGTGCGGTATAATGAGACAATAACAGGCTACAGGTGCAGGCATATATACACACACATATATATTTATATAAATATATACAATTTCTGATTCAAATAAGTATGAGAGCACTCTCATAATAACATAAGACTATCAGAGACTTGAGGGGGTTACCCGACATGTCGTTGCAGTGGACCTTCTTAATCTACCTTCTTTGGGGGCCCCCTTCTGGTCCGGGGCCCCAGGCAGTTGCCTACCTTGCCTGTTCGCAAAGGTGCGCCCCTGTGTACAACACGCACCTACAGCTCCTAAAGCATATAATATATATCAGGATACAGCCGTTGTGTATTTTATTATGTGAAGCACTAAATGGTTTTAGAAAAATATCGACTCTTTGTTTGTAGATATCGACTAAACTAAAGCATACAAATAAAGAGAGTAATGTAGGCCTGTTATACTGAGTGATATATATTTTACACACCGCTGCTTTCGCCACGGACCTCACAGCTGTTCTCACTGGAAACATTGCGTCGCGATTAAAGCAGTTAATAAAATAATATCCAGGGGATGCATGCAGAGCTGTCATTGGCTGAGATAAGTCCGGCTGTGCGTCACAACTCTTTGAAACATCACTGTTGTCGGAAATACATCCGCTGATGATCCGCAGAGGACCCATCAGTGTATCCTCGATTATAGCTCCTCCTGAGAGCCTCCTTGATGCTCGATCCTCGGTTCTTGATGTGCATTTAGAGAAATTAGATGTCCTTCAACATGGCGCGCTGAAATCCATTTCCGGGTCACTACCGGAGGACCGAGGATTCGAGGAGTGGAAATTAGTGAAATGAGAAAGGGCCTGAGGACACTTACCCGTACTTGTCGTGGCTTCAGGAGGTGGAGACGAGCTGGACCTCAGCATATCTAAAGCCACTTTCACGTCCTCCACCTGCTCCTCCTCTGGTGGGGGCAGTACGGGGGGTTTCACATCAACTTCCTCCTCAACAGCATCACTGTCTAACACTGAGGATGTGAGGGAACATTTAAAAAAAAAAAAAAAATTAGTTGGATGATATAAGATAAGATAAGATAAGATAAAAAGGGCTTTTATTGATCTCCGTAGGGGAAATTCTGGTGTTATAGCAGCAACAGAATAAGACAGAAACACAGATAGTACACATGGAATAATAAGAATAAAAATAAAATAAGAACAAATAAAATATAAATAGCAAAAAGGTGAATGGACATACAGTATATACAGATATGTATAAAGGTTACATATATATATATATATATACACATTACAATATGCAGGTAACACTGTGGTGAAAGTCCTGTCTGCATATAGTGCACATTTTATTGATATTGATATTTAGTGCAGGTTAATTTTGATATAAAGTGCTTTGTCTACCTTCTCAGAAAGATGCTGCTATGTTTCAAAATGTTTGGACGATAAATAAGAATGTATAAAGTATTTAATAAGCAGCACTGAAAACAATGCGATCACCCTTTTAACCTGTTCACTTAAATCCACTCCTGGGAACTTTCGCTACAAAAGGTCCAACAACTTCATCAATCTGAAGCTCGGAGGTGCGGAAAAATGGAAGTCATGCATCATAGAATTTTTTAACAGGTTGTGGCTGAACCTGGCACTGGTGACAAAACTGATTTACCACTCTCCTCTAGCTCTCGTTTGTACTTACAAAGAAGTAAGGTGTATATATCTGTCTATCTGTCAGCAGGATTATGGAGAGAAAAAATTGCCAAATTTCATTAAACTTGATGAAAGAATGGAGCCGTGGTCAAGGAAGAACAACTCCGAAACTGATATCAATGTATTGTTTAGGAGTTCTGAGCAATAAAATACAACAAATCTTCTTTAAGCGTCCATGTATCCAGATTAACACTTAAAGCTTGTGAACACACCAAAGTAGGAAAAACAACCTGTCATCCTCTGCCAATTTGACTACCCAGGAGCACGTTATTTCACCATTGAAAGGTCTGCGTCATGAAACAGAAAACAACTGTGATAAAAAGTGTACTCTGCTTAACTTTACCTGTATGAAAAATGGCAGGTGAATGGCTGCAATCCTCCTCCATTAAATGATTCTCTTGCTCCTCTTTCATCTGAGCTTCCTGTTCCCCCTGATCTACTGTACCAATGTCCATCATCTCATCGAGGTCCTCTGCTTTAGGAACCCTGGATTTACTGCCAGGTGACCCCTGCTGAGTGCCTTTGTCCTTTGTAGTGTCCATGTCTGTTTCCATGTTTAAGTTTGTTATCTTCTCAACAGTATTGTGCATATTTGTATCCTTGCTCATATCAGGTTCTGCAGGATTTTCCTCTGAGCTCAACTCAAACTCTTCCTCGGTTTTCACCTGACTACCTTCTTCTTTCTCAGTCTCTGATGTGCTATTTGACCCAACACTGTGAACCATAACTGTGCTGACTGTCTCTTCAGTGGATAAAGTCTCTTTATGCTCAATTTCTTTAATTTCTATTTCTTTTTGAGCAGCAACAAAGGTATCTTCCTCTCCATGTTCAGAGAGTTGTTGAGAAGCTGTGTGAACAAGCTGTGGTTCTCCAACATCTGCAGAAAATCCTGGCTCTGAAACAGCCTCCATAGACTCTCCGTCTGTTACCTGTGAAAGAAACAAAAACCTCCCATTATGTGCAATGCTATTGAAAATAAGTCATACACATATCAGTATAGAATGTTGCGTAATTACTTAGAAATTATCAATCAGAAGTGTTTATCAGATAAGCTATCAATTGGAAAAATCAATTTTCTTGTCCTCCATTTAAAACAATGATACTTTTGACTAGCTTTTCTTTGTTAATGTTTTTTGTTATTAAAGGTCATTCTCAAAAATGTTTTTAATGAATGTTTGCTTTTATCACATCTGTTTTGCATTATATTGTCCTTATCATATCTGTTCTTGCTATTTGCTGCCTCTCTTTTGTTATGCACTGGATTGCTTGGTTTTATAGTGCAATGTTTGAACTTCTCAACTTTGCATGTTTTCATTTATTCCCTCTTATCTTCAGTTTAAGGTAAAACTTGTTGAACTACACACTCTGTATGACATGTGCTTCATTCATAAAGTTGTATTGTCAATATATGTATAAAAAAGGAAAAAGTGAAAGAAAAAAGTAAATATACCGACTAGCTGATAACACAACCAGTGTAACTACGGTTGCAGATATTATATCCAAAATGCATGCATAACAAATATAGTTATTATAGAACTCGTGTTTTAGAAATGTAACCTGACATTAGCACGCCCAGTCAGCCGTGTGTTAACCGTGCTTCCTCGCCAACAAACACGACAACACAGTTAGCTTGTTGCTGCAAATGCAATGTAAACACAGCTAGCATCACTGCTGCAGAGCTGTTAAGACAACAACAGCGGTGTTATTACCTCCTGAGACGCTTCCTTGGATGTGGCCATGTTACGATGATGTGTTGACTAAACACATGAACTGCAAACAAGAGAAAAACTAGCTCACCAGTCGCTAAGCTAATCTAGCTTGCTTTACAAGTCTGCACCATGGTCGGCACACGTTTCTGCCGTAGTCCTCCACAGTGAGCTAGCCTTATAGTAGCTCAATAACTAACCGCTTTGCTAATGAAATAACTTTTCTAGTTGTGTTATGTTGTATTAATTTCTTCATACAGCAACGTTATGAGGATGTATATAATGTATACAGCCGTAACAACGTGCAGCGTATTAGCGCGCCAGCTTCTTGGCATACGGGACTTGATTGGTAGTGAGCAGTGGGTGTCCATCCCCGGTTTCCGTAGCCGCCATGTTTGCTCCAAAATTGGAGTTTTGCAACTAAATATGCGAGTATCTGCGTTTAAAAATGTGGTTTACATATACTCTGCAACCATAAAATACTTTTAATATGATCCCTTAGTACATATGTTGCATCCAGTCTATCACGTTGCAGTGTTTTGCTTCCTTGAGGTTTAATGGTAGACTCAGACTGCAGCTCAAGGTTTAGGGGCATACAGCCACCTACTGTACCGGAGTGGGAAGCATCATGATTTTATATATTTTTTATATTATTGATTGAACACATTGCACAATGCACATGTCATACATACTCTATAAGTAACCAAGTGAAACATTCATACATTCAAACATGTGAGTAAGAAGGGGAAAACAGCAGGAGCTGAAAAAAAACTTAACTTAAAGGTGGGGTAGGTCATTTTGGAGAAACCAGCTCGAGATCGCTAGAATTTGAAAATACTCTGGGTGTTTCTCAATCGCGAGTACGCTTGCTTGGTAGCACATGTCTGCCGAGCATCTTGCTTCAGAAGCGAGTCAAGAATACTTCCTGGCATTCGGAAAACGAAGTGTGGAACACGCTAGCAAGTGTGCGTCATATTAGAGGCCCCGCATTACATCTTCCGCCACAGATTTTGGGAAATTGGTCCGTGCGCAAAGCATTGTGGGGATTTTAAGACCGCGAAGTCTACTCATGTGCAGACTCGATATTTCTCCAAACGGAGTACGCCGGGCTCGGTAGATTTCCAAATATACTGGAGATTGGAACAGTACTTCGGCGGCACTCGATGACGTAGTATGCTTGAAATAGTGGCTCTGAAGCAGCTTTACTCGCGATTGAGAAACACCCACAGCCGGAGAAAATCTGCCACTTCCTTACAGAGCCCCTCCTCCAACACACACGAACGCGCACATGACCAATGAGGGGACGAGATAAGTTTGTGCACAGATGGAAGGCTGACAGGCAGGTAGGCCATCCAGTTATTTTAGCCGGGCCGGCTAAAATGATTGGTCGTACTTTTTACAGTACTACGGCTTCCACAGATGACATTTTTTTTATGGATTTTTTGTCAAAGCACGTAAGATATTCATTGCTATCGGGATGTTAAGAGCATTCCATGGAATATAACAAAAAGTGTATCTCGAGCCGGTTTCTCAAACTTACCTACCCCACCTTTAAGTTATTATAATAATTATAATGATGATTGATAATAATAAATATAATAATAATAATTACAAAGCCTCAATTTGAAATTATTATTATTTAAATATTGGCATTCAAAAATGTGTTCTTACGGGCCGTCTCCACGGCAGCGTTAAAAAAATCTTGGAGGTGGGCGTATCTGAAGCTTGGGGATTGTTTTGCGATCAACCAATCACATGAATCTCCCGCCCGCGACATACGAAGCCAAAAAGCCCGAAGTAAACTGGATATAAACTCCCCAAAACAGGCGAAAACATACCACTGTCTCTGCCACCTCCCTCCATGCCTGGCTCCTCCGGTTTATATCCCGGTAGGTCTGGTCATAAAGCACCGGGTGATTGATTCGCTACCGCTAATTTCTCCTCCATTTTTTGGAATATGAGGAAATGATCTGCGGGATATCTCTCCCAGCATACACGCCGTTTGATTGGCTAGAGCTTGAACTGTCAGATTTGCGTACACGGGATTTGATTGGCTGACGCTTCCTCCTCAGCTTCAAAAGTTGAACATTGTTCAACTTTGGATCTTGAAAATCCTGAGAATCTCCGCTCGCCTGCCCACAATGCATTTCGGCGAAAGCGAAAAAAAGTGACGTCACCCCATTCAAAGTGAATGGGCAGAAGCGTTTCAAGATTTTTTAACGCTGCCGTGGAGACGGCCCGTTACTGTTTGTAAAGCTCCCTAACCTGCATTTTCAAGGCTTCGTTCTCGTCGGCCACCTGATTTGCCATCACTGCCGTCGCTGGATTTAAAGAGTAGTCATGATCCGGCGGCGCAACTGTTTCCACCTCGTACTCAGCTGTCAAGTCCGGGGTGGGACTCTCTGCCCTCGGCCGACGCTCCCAAACATTACGTCTTGGTGTAGGTAGCTCGTAGTTATTCCATGCAAAGAGAACAGGTGTAGCTCCTTTCTGTACTCTGTTCAGTCCTCCAGCTGTGACCAATAAGTCTCCTGGTCGAAAATGCCTACTACACACACGGGTATTTTTTGTGGGGCTGAAATTGTCCCTACGGACCTTGATCAGCCACTGAGCCTTTACTTCAGCATCAATAGGAAATGAATGGAAACTTATCTCCCGATTATAACGGGACGAATTTGTACAAAGGGGTACACAGCAATGTAGTGCCGACTTTCTTACCCGCTGGAAGGCCAATCGCCTTTCTTTAACCTTTCCAAATCCGCTCATTCTTGCTCTTGGTGTCTATGTCAAAACAAACTGTCAAAACTCTGTATTCAAACCGGAAGTACTCGCCCTCACTCCCCCACCCGCCGGAAGTTGATAGACGCCATCTTGTAGGCTATTCCTGCTGTTGAAAAGGGGACTATGGTTGCGGTCGAATAATCCAAAAATCAGCTCCTAAATTCTAACCCTATCGTCTATTCCTTGACCTCTGAGTGAAACGTCATGGGGTTAAGGGATAGTGGATAGGAGAATTCAAAAGGACTTAGGAGAAGAGACTGCGGTACTTTAGAGAATCCGACTGCACTTTCACTATCCGACGTGTTTATGATGCTCCAGCGGACGTCATAAAGTGCGTCTGCTGCTGTGGGGAAACTACAGTTTTCTATACAGCGGACTACAACATGGATGTTTAATAAGAACGAGGGACTACTGTAAACTCATCTAGAGACTCTGCACCGTGCTCTGATGCTGTTGTTTTATGCTTTATGAACGGGGACAACAGAGAAACATATTCTTCATGACCAAAGTTGGAATTGAAATAAAAAAGGAAAGTGAAACGTATGCTCGTCACCCTCTCCCTCCGGTCCACATTAATACAAATGATCCCAATACGTATGATTGTATGAACTATGAAAAAATCTTAAAATCAATACAAATGTATTTATTATAAACGTTAGTCCTTAACATCTATCACTGTGTATATCACCATTCAAACATCTTTTAAAAGTTGAACAAACCCCACACAGCTCAGTAAAGACTGTGAAATGTTGACTTTATTTGATCATTTCAGTAAAAACTAACGTTCATATTTCTCTTTTTGATTATAATACTGATGAACGTTCAAAACAAAGCACTTTGGCAACTTACCACATACGTTTTAAAATGCTTAATAAGCACCGTAACTTTCATGATATCATTTCTCGTTCATAATCGGTTGTTTCCGTGAAGGCATTGTGGGGCAGCATTTTCTCCTCTCCTTTCGGTTAGGGAGGTCCAGTGGTTCCTAAGCTAAAGGAGGTTATAAAGGAAGTTTGAAACCTCCTTTCCTTTCATTTAGAGAATTCGAACGGCACTTATCATGGCTGCCACTGAGGGACTTCCGGGTCATTTCACTCCGTTAGGAAGGTTCCTAAGCTAAATGGACTATTCGACCGCAACCTGTGGTTTATTTGAAACAAAAATGGTGGAATGTATCTCAGTATGCTTCATATACTCAATTACTATGCTTAAGTACAATTTAGAGGTATTTATACTTCACTTGAGTCTTTTATTTTAATGCAACTTCTACTTTAACTCCACTAGCCTAGATCTCTGATGGAAATATTGTACTTTTTACAACCACTTAAATCTCGCAGTTTAGTTACAAATTAAGATTTTTGAACAGAAAACATACAAAGAGATTATGAGCTCATCCTCCACAAACTTTAACAGTATGAGTAAATTGTTAGAGCAAAATGTCAGTGCACGTCCCTGCTTACCGATGCCGTGACGGTCCCGCTCCCACCGTCTGCTCTGGAGCACGGTTAGCGGACGGGACGGCGGTGGGTGTCGGATAGGTGCAACACTTCATGGAGGATCAAGTGTTCGGGTGAAAAACTAACTACAGTTTGGATATGAACAGCAACGACCATATTATGTTATCCATCAGCTACCAAATATAACAAATAGTAATATTCTCTAATAGTTCAATACTGCTCATTAACAACATGGATAGAAAGAAGAGAAGATATTGGAGCAGAAGGACGCCATTAATGTTTATATCCTTTGGGCCAATCAAAAGCGTGTATTTATTTCGGGGCGTGTCTAAAACATGACTTGAATTTTGGAAACATCATATGATGAATTAGATAGATTATTATGGTTATTTGTATCGTATTCTCCTTGTTCAATTATGTTGCTTGCAAACTTTGTATATGTGTTTAACAATGATAATGTTTGTATATTATCCAAATGTTTAATTAAGGTTTAAAAAAAAAACATTAATAATGCACATAACAACAAACCAACTCCAATATATCAAGACAAGCTCATCACCAAATGCAAATCACCAACAAAAATACTTGTTCCTTATCAATATTCATGACATATTTTCTCCAGAAAGTGATATCCTTATGATATGCAGATTAGTGCAAGCTCTTGACTTCAACATTAAAAAGGTAGCAATGAAAATGTTTGTACATTCATGTGAATAATATATGAAATTTATGCTTTTCATTTGCTACCATTTTATTTTCTATTTCATAATAAGAACTTGTTTTTGTTACACTAATAAGAAACCAATTTTATATACACAGGCATATTTACATTTTTAAAGTAGCTTATTAAACTGTGTGACTTCCATGTTTTTGATTTCTCTCCGAGGTTCAGTGCTTTGTCTTCTACAAGGCAAGGCAAGGCAAGTTTATTTATATAGCACCTTTCAACACAAGGCAATTCAAGATGCTTTACAAAAATGAAAGACATTCAGACAAAGGCATTCAAAAAGAGTAATTAAAAAGAAAAGATAATAAAAGAAACATTAAGAGAAAAAATACATTAATAAAAAGTACATGAACCTTGTAAGTGCATTACAAGGGAAGTGTACATGAATAAAAAGTTACAGTGCAGTTTAATATATGAATAGTTCACACAGAAGTTCCATTTTACCGATGCCTTTCTTTAAGGTTTCTCCGAACATGAGCTGTGTACGCTTGTATGGCACATACGTCCCGAGCAGCATACACAGAGTAAATCAGCCAGGACAAAGTCCCCAGACACTGATTCCCTGGGGTTACTAGCCCCAAATGTTCATTAACCAAATACGAAACACAACCGCTCAGTTTCAATTAAAAGCAGCGGCAAAAAGGAAAGTCTTCAGCCTGGATTTAAAAGTAGTAAGAGTTGCAGCGGACCTGCAGGTGTCTGGGAGTTTGTTCCAGATATTTGGAGCATAATAACTGAACGCTGCTTTACAGGCCAAAGCATAAATAGATGTTTTGGACCAGGCTGCATTTAAAGACATTATATGGCCAAAAGTATGTGGACAACCAATCATTACATAAAAAACACTGATTAGATAATGAGGTCTGTGCAGTTTGTGTTTCACTTCTTCCCGAAAGTGTTGGGCAGGATTGAGGTCAGTCAAGTTCTTCCGCAGCAAACTCAACAACAAAAAACGGGTCTTGGCTTTGTGCACAGGGTCAATGCCATGTTGAAGCAGGGCAGGGCCTTACATAAACATGCTGCCACATAATTGGAGGCCTTAACCATAATATAGCCCTAGTTTTGATTTTACTGTAGATAGCATGTTGGTGTGACGTGTAACACAATTGTGCCTGCACCTCCATTCAATGTCCATACGTTTTTCACAGAACAGTGAGCCTTTACAGCAGGGCTGCCCCGGAGCCTCGCTGCGGGGAAACTGGCGTGGATAATTGCGCCGCATTTGCGCATAAGATGAGGCCCACTGCGCAAGATGAGGCCTTACCCACTCTGCGTGTTCTGCGTGTAGGGAGAGGTGACCTGCTTTACAGGTTGTGTAAAAGGGGCTTTAGGGACTACTAGACGCACAACTCAGATTAAAGGTAATCTGAGTTAGGTAGGTAATTCACTTCAGAAACACTTTTTGTTATCAAACTTTTTAGATTGAATATAGACCAATAATATTGGAAGAACCCTTAGTAAGTGAGAGTCTTTGCTGCTCCCTGTTGGAGCTTGAGAGAAATTATCTTACTGTCCAACTCATCCATGAAGCCTTCATCCACAGATTCACTTTCCACCTCCTCTCCTTCAGCCTCTGTGGGCAGGAACACATGAAGCTGAGTGCGGGCCGGACCGGCGGCAGCAGAACGAGCCGGGCGTTCACTGCTGCTCAGGAGACAAGGCTTCCCAACGACATACAAAGGCTCTCCCTGAGGAGATGAGTTGCGATACTGCATCACTAAAGGTCTGAGGTCACCCTGCTGTTCCATCTCTGCGCTCAGGGTCGGGTTGTGGGAATGGCGCCTCACTGGTCTTGGCTTGGAGCCGGGCTGGATGGCCTGGGAGAAGTGGAAATAGGCCGGTCTGCTGCAGTTTTGGACCTGCCGGTGGTTCTGCTGCTTGCTGGTCCCAGATGTGAGGCAGGTCTTGCAGGGGAGCAGGACTGATGACTTGGAAAACGGAGTAGGAGGTGCAGAGCCCTTTTTGAAAACACTTGGGCGACGATTGTTTGAGAATCCCTCGAGTAGGGCGTTTTCATGTGGGGTGAGGAGGGATGGCTCACTGAGGCTGTGGAGACAGTAATGAAAGTTTAAGTAGAAAAAACATTTTTAGAAATATATTTTAATAATAAGCAGACTTCATTACCAAGTTCGATGACTTAAAATGTTACTTGACCAAATCCGAAAAGATTGTAACACCAATGACTTGATACTTCCCTTGGACCTGAGCCTTTTGACTAAAACATACTTAATACCTTACTTAAAGCCCCAAATCTAATAATTTCCCTTAATTTCCCACTACTCAATCCCAGCAAGAGATCCATTATGTTCAACCAGGCAACCAATCAAGTTTCAATAAAGAACCATACAAAATGAATGTCACATGACTGAAGGTAGCAGTTGGAAAAATCCTTCTGGTGGTCCACAAAAAAACAAATTGTAGATAAGTTGCAATTTGATTTGTTTAGGATTTGAAACCTAAAGTTTAAAATTGTGGACTTGCAAAACCATGTCTTTGTTGCTCTGATAACACTCTGATATTAAGCAGTTGTAATGTTTTTCCCATGTGTCATCTTATTTCAGCGTTTTAGCATGATTACATTTGCTATTAGCACTTAACAAATACGATGACTGAGGCTAATAGGAATGTCATTAGTTTAGCTGGTAATTGGTCACGAACCGAGGATGGCACTGAATTGAAATGTAAGTTCTCCAAAATGAATACAACTCATCCTAAGGGAACCCTAAATGTCTAAATCAAGTTTCATCAAAATCAGTCCAATAAGTAGGGAGACATTTTTGCCAAAATCACAAAAGTCAACCTCATAGTTGCAATAGAATAAAAGTTAAAGGATGACTAAAGTCAGTACAATTCATCCTCTGGGGACCATGAATATGTACCAAATTTGAACACAGTCTATGAAATAGTTCTTGAAGTATTTTCCAGTTTGAATCAAAGTGGTTGACTCACAGAAAGACACTGTCAGGGCCACTAATAC